TCTTATTTTTTTGGTATCTGTTATTGTGAGAATGTATTTGCTGTTAACTGTTATTGAAAATTATTAGAAATTGGGGTCTTACCACTGGTAATATGGTGGTCCCTTGTTCAGAGAAGGATTCCAGTAACATACACACCACGTGTAATTTTCTATGAACATGTATTTAGAGTTACCTAGAATTGGTTTTACTCAATGTATGATAATAATTTTTTTGTTATGGAATACTTTTTTCAGCTTTATTTTTTGAGCGTTTAAAGAAACTCACACGCGCTTGTAATTCAAATAGTTTGTGTATTCTTAGAAAAGAACCACAGCGGTGTTTGAGTTAAGGTTGTATGGACATAGGTTTATCCTCATCATGTATCCTTGACCATGTTTTCCTTTTTATAACATTAATAATTGTTTGAACTTGATTTTTTCACGTATATATGGGGTTAATTTCCTTGTATCCCCATTCGTAAATATTAGATTCTAACAATTCTTAATATTACAAAAAGGAAAACATATGACCACTATATCATACATATCTTTATTGTCATAGAAACCCAATTAGTTTGTGACAAAAACAAAAACATAGTATAGCATAGAAATAACAATTTTTCAATAAATGAACACAGTCATATAAAAAAAAATTATATAAGACTTTTGCCCTCAGTTCCAATGACTGTTTTATATCGTTTACATGTTCCATGGTACAGGGATTTAGCATTTCTTTCACTTTTTGTTTTTGGGTATTAATTATGGACATAAAATTATGAGGAGGTAAGCATTTTTTCAAATAGATTATCTCTTAGCTTTTTGTTAATTTTACATTTAAGGAGGAAGTGCTTTTTTCCCTCCAACAAGTGGAACAGTTTACATATTCTATCCTTTCTATGAATTTTATAATAGCGACCCTTTTCTATTTCTAAGTTATGGTAACTAATTCTCAACTTAGTTATGCATTTACTAATAGTAAAGTCATTGGAAGCTAAATAAAATTCCCTATTTAACCTAAGTTATAAATTTTCATAAATTGACAGTTTACTATTTTCTTCATAACTATTTATTTTATTTTCAAAAATCTATTTTAAATTTTTCTTTAAATTTATTTTTAATCAAGGACGTTAAAGATTTTATTTTATTGAAGTCCCTACAACTATTAACTTTATCTAAAATGTCTTGGTGGGGAGAAATATTCATTGCATATTTATACCAAGAATAAGTACCATGGGAGTCTGTTTTGACAATATAAATGCTCCTTTAAGTTAAGGATCTATATTTTCAGAATTCGGTCTTGCTAGGTTACATAAAGATAGACTATGAGAAAATAAAATGTTCAAGGGGAGTCTTCCTTGTTCTGCTCAGAATGCTATGTTTGATGTGGTTTTTCTGGTGCCCAGCAAAAATTTACAAAAATTAATGTAAACTTTTTCGAATGGAGTTTTACCAATAAATGAAATTTTATCAAAGTTTTTATGATTTCAATCAGCTCTTATCTTAGATCTGTTTCTTGTTTAACAGCTATCCATAGAGGAGATCTCTGAGCTATAAGTTTAAACTGGTTAAACCAATTTATCAAAAAATATACTAGAAAATTCTATTGGGAGATTTCCCATTGAAGCTATCTTATAGTTTTAACCAAAAATATGACTTTTCGTGCTTTTTATGTTAGGTCTTCTAAACTTGAAATAAGGTACTGTTACCATTGTCATTATAAGAGTTCCTAGGAATTTATATTCAATTTTTTTTTTATCATATTACCATTGTACATGTAGTTAAGAAATTAAACTACACTTTTGGCACTATGTGGTTGTAACATCATGATTTTAATTTTATAATATTTATGTATAGAGTTAGTTGACAATTTTCACAGATACTACTAAATTTATGTTTACTGTTCTGTATACCTTCTTTACTCTCTGATATCAAAAGTAAACCATCTGCAAAAGATAGTGATCCAAGGGTTGATTATGCTAGTTTTAGATAACAAAAATATTTATTATCATACATTGAGTAAACCTAGTAAATTCAAAATACATGTTCATAGAAAATGGAAGGGTTATAATAAAATATACTGGGATTTATCTGATTCGGACCCGACTGATATTTCATTTACTGTTATCTGTTATTATCCTTTTTCAATTCCTTGTTATCTGTTTTAAGCCAAATCAATTTGCTGTTTTGCTGTTATTGGACCCCCCCTTGCCCCCCTCCTAGATACTCGTGTGCATGTGACGATGTTCATGTCCATTGAGGATCATTGAGATCAGCCCCTTCACCAGCAAGGACTGGTTGGAGAAATGCATGGAGGTATGTTCACAGTTCTAGATTTTCTTGTGTGAACGAAATGAAAGTTAAAGGAGCGAAGCGGGAGTCGAGTCGAGGGGAGGAAAGCGGGAGTCGAAGGGGAGGGAAGCGGGAGTCAGGGGGAGGGAAGCAGGAATTGAATACCCCCTCTACATAAGGAAATGCCTGTACCAAGTCAGGAATATGACAGTTGTTTTCCATTTGTTTGATGTGTTTGAGGTTTTAATTTTGCCATTTTATAAGGGACTTTCCGATTTGAATTTTCCTTGGAGTTCCGTATTTTTGTTATTTTATATTTTTTAGACTAGGCACCATCTAATTAACCATGAGATGACCTTGGAGACTGCCGATGGTCATATGATCCAATGTTAACATGAATATAAATAAACAGACAAGCAGCTAGTGCAATCGTATAATGACAATTTTTCTAAGTCTGTTTGAATTCATGTGAAAGATTAAAGAATATGTAAATCATTGTTTTACCTATATAAGAATGAATTTTTGTGGGTCGACTTAGTCTAATTGCTATTTTCTGGTTCCTCTCTTGTATCACTTTTCAATGTTGACATTCTTTTCTTTTTAATAACTGAACATGCTTATCACATGCATAACCCATCTCTAGCTAAGGGTCAAATCAAAGAAACATGAATACAGGTTCAAATGAAGTTGAATTATTGACTTGCAAGCCAATAATACAGCGATGTATTTGAGAATTATCTTCAACTCATAAATGTTTTAAGACCTGATTAATTTTAACCTCAACACTGAAGTGACATGTCTTTTATTAAAGACCGTACACATGTTGGTTATATGATCATAGAATTTGCCTGTGTATACATGGGATTTTTTCTTCTAAAAAAACAACCAGTTTCTTATAATCTTTTGGAATGCTTACATTATTTTCATCTTGTATAAATGTAGATTTCTTTTCTTCCTCTTTCTTGCGAATAGTTCAGTCAATAACTCCGATACAAAAATAAGAACTTTTGTTTATGTTCATAGTTTTTGTCGCAGAAAGCTCGACATAGGGATAGTGATCCGGCGGCGGCGTTAGCTAACTTCTTAAAAGCTTTATATTTTAGAAGCTAGAAGTCCTGGATGCTTCATACTTTGTATATAGATGCCTTATGTTACGAAGTTTCCGTCTGTCATATGTCAATTGTCCTTGACCTCATTTTCATGGTTCAGTGACTACTTGAAAAAATTCAACATTTTTTGTAATGTTAATTTCTTTCTTATTATGAGTAATAGGATAACTATATTTAGTATGTGCGTACCTTGCAAGGTCCTCATGCCCGTCAGACAATTTTCATTTGACCTCGACCTCATTTCATGGATCAGTGAACAAGGTTAAGTTTTCGTGGTCAAGTCCATATATCAGATACTATAAGCAGTAGGTCTACTATATTTGGTATATGGAATGATTGTAAGGTGTACATGTCCAACTGGTAGGTGTCATCTGACCTTGACCTCATTTTCATGGTTCAGTGGTCAAAGTTAAGTTTTTGAGTTTTGGTCTTTTTTTCTAATACTATATGCAATAGGTCAACTATATTTGGTGTATGGAAATATTTATGATGTACATGTCAGTCTCGCAGGTTTTATTTGACCTTGACCTTATTTTCACAGTTCATTTCTCAGTGTTAAGTTTTGTGTTTTGGTCTGTTTTTCTTCAACTATAAGAAATAGATCAACTATATTTGTTGTATGGAAGGATTGTAAGGTGTATATGTCTGTCTGGCAGGTATCATCTGACCTTGACCTCATTTTCATGGTTCATTGGTCAATGTTAAGTTTTCAGGGTTAAGTTTGTTTCTTAGATACTATAAGCAATAGGTAAACTATATTTAATGCATCAATTGATTGTAAGGTGTACGTCACTGTCTGGCATGGTTCATCTGACCTTGACCTCATTTTCATGGTTCATTGGTCAATGTTAAGTTTTCTTGGTTAAGACTGTTTCTTAGAAACTATAAGCAATAGGTCAACTATGTTTGGTTTATTGAATGATTGTAAGGGGTACATGTATTTCTCGTTTGGTTTATCTGACCTTGACCTCATTTTCTTGGATCATGTTAAGTTTATGTGTTACTTGTAGTAAAGCTTTATATTTAGGACTATCAACATAAAATCAATGGTTAGTAAAGAAGGTGAGACATTTCAGCGTGTGCACTCTTGTTAGTTATATCTTTAATATTCTTATTTTTGCCATTAAGGAAATTTGGAGTTGATGACTAGCTTAGATAGTCTGTTACATTTTTACACAATTATTCTAGACATGAAAGGGTTAAGAACTCAAAATATTGTAAGGAAAAGTCCATTTTATGTTGAACTAAAGATGTACAGTAATATAGGTTGTGTGTGTCGTTTAACTTGGGTTGCTGTCTTATTTACTTATACTACACATCTCCTTTTCTTCATACATAGAAATTAAGCAAAGATTAATATAATATGTTAACAGCCATTTACACTTGCAAATTTGAAAACTTCTCACGAGACTGCAAAAATGTCCTGGGACCTGTCACTCTTCATGTGAGCAAATATTCCAAACCACATTGAATTAAACAATAAACAAGTACTGCCACTCCCACTGTGAATATTCTCTCTGGACAATTCCAATAGGTCAAATATATAAAAAGGTCATGTCATTATTTGGTAATACATGTATATGCAGACAGTTACAAGATAGTTAAGAAAAACAAAATGGAAGTGTGTCACAACTGGTTTATTGTTGTTTAATACATTTTAGCCAAGTATCATCTACAAGCAGTACTGCATTTAATAGACAATCCAATTCTAAAGTTAGAGTGGAAGTCAATTGCAAGTGAAGAGGTTTCAAAGTAAAAATGTACTGGAAAACTGTCAAGCCTAGTCAATTAAGGATGTTTGCTACTCTTGTTTTTTTACTTTTTGTCAATCTGATTACAATCCTATGTTGTGATACGCTACACTCCCTCTAAGGGATGGAGTGTTGTAGCGAAAACTAACAGCTGATTCTAATGAGATAGACTTTTTGTCAGATTTTTGGAATACTCTAGTTTTATCCATGTAGTGCCAATATAAAATTTTGGCTGCTAACCCCTACTATTCTTTTATTATTTTATTACATATTGTTTTAATAAAAAGCCATTTTTGAAAATCTTATAAAATCCGTTATTTTTTTCATACATTTTTTGAAAGGAAAGAGGTGCCAATGTTAAATGTATGAAAAATCTAGTGAGAATGATTTCCCACACAAATTTCAATTGATTATATCTCATAAACAATGACATGGATCTATAATTTTTTCAGTTTTTTAAATTCTGTTATTTATATATTATCAATTTATAACAGTCTTTTAAAAAGCTTGTTATTTTAAAATTGAGGAGCAAACATCCTTAATTAATATCAGAGTCAAACACATCTTGCCACAATCACGCTTTGAAATCACAACCTTAGTGACAGTGTTGCCAGGCTAGTAATTACCCTAGATGAACTACTTAAGACCACTCAGCCACAGAGGCCACTTTCTTTAAATAAAACAGATTCTTGACTACAATGCAGATTTTTTATTTCTATAAGTTACAACAGGTTATCTCGATATAATAACAAGACAGATTGTGACACAGTAAAAATAAATATTGACATCATGATCGATTGTACAAGTAGTATGTGCATTGATGTAAAAATGTTGATGGTAAACGTTAACATGATGTACGCTTTGTAATAAATACCTTTAAAAATATGTTTAATTAAGTTATTTGACAAAGGGAGTACCTAAAAATAACAATTCAAAATATAACAACACACTATTTTTAAATTACCGGTAGGATCTTTACATTTATGTGAACAATACTGCCTGAAAGTTGAAGAAATGCATAGATACATGTAGTATTCAAATATTTACATGAAATAACGAGGGTTATCGCAGAAATAAATATGCATGTGGTTCTGGGGCTGGATCTTGTTAATAAATATTATACTACATTCATTTTCAGCTTCAAGTACATGTATATGTATATTGAAATAGAAGTCAGCAACTTCAAAAATATATAAGGGCTGTTCCATAAAAAAACACATGGGACCAAGGGAAGACAACTTGCTACTATGGGTGGGTTGTTCTATTTTAAAATGTATGCAGGTCTCCAAAATTGCTTCTATAGTATAGATAGTTACTCTATTATTGAAGTGCCTTCCCTGGGTTCCATGTATCAGTCCTATGGTTTTTTTTTAATATTAAATCTGGCTTAAATAATTACATAACATTGCAGTATTTTTGATGTGCCATTTTTTCAGATCACTGTTATTTTTATAAAACTCTTTTTTTTTATATGACAACTTGATTAAATTTCTTGCATGACACAAAGCAAATACTTGTTTCCCTTAACTCTTAAAAATTGAAAGTTTGAACAGTTACAAGCATTTCTATAATATAGCTGAATCTTGTTCATTTGTTATAAAACAATGTAATTCCCTTGAAATATGCAAAAAATGTATCCCACAATTAATGTACCGCGGTACTCATGAAATGTTTGCAATTGTTTCCACTAATGAGATTAAAAAGTCATTTAATATATAATATAAGATACCCTTAGCAGATATTTACATTTTGAAATTAAAATAATGATAATAATTCTAAAATAACGGATTATCTTAATGTTCAGTTCAGTGACAAAACAACAAAACTATCCTAGAAAAAATGATTGCTTCAACACAAATCCATCTGATAAATCAATTTCATGCAATTATCAAATAAGAACTTTACACAATAACACTCAAAACATTTCGGAATTACAAAAGCTATATTGATGAAGTAAAAATAATAGTTCTGAGGTAAGTGTTGACATCTATATTATGGATACCAGGTCTTTTAATAGCTGTACTACCAGAGAGCTGTCTTTACTGGCTTCAGTGGTCCTGGTTTTGGTTGTACACTTTCAAATCCATCAATCATTCTTATAATACGTGCTAATGATTCCTTGTGTTTTGGTATCAACCCTGAATTTATTAACGTCTGGAAAATAAAAACATAAAAAAATTACTTCATTTCAATGAAATATTGAGGAAATGGTAAAAAAGACTACATCTATTAAATTTCTTGACAATATTTTGTAGCCAAGAAATAAAAAATGACCTATAAACATACATATCAATGTTATATACAATAAACCTACTTTGTTGGAAATTATACACTTTTTTTTTTTAAATGTGTGAGTCTTCCAAGTAGAAAGAATTGGAAACCCCAAACAACATAAAGACACAAAAATAAAATAGCAGCTGCTCAACTTCATGTTCTGTGGAAAACCTGTGCAAATTTTGTTGAATCTGTCAAGCTGTTTTCTAAAGGTAGTGCATTAACAAGCTGATATTTTTAAGCAGAAAATGGAAAGTCAGTGTTTTGGTATGGGAATTCCAAATGCACCAAGTGATCAAACTTGAACAATTCCTGTTTGACTTGCCTCTCTGCTTGAATCCACCAACTGATCAAACATGTACACTTCCTCTTTAGACTTATCTCCCTTATTGTATCCACTACCTGATCAAACTTGTACACTTCCTATTTTGACTTACCTCCCCGATTGTATCCACTTACTGGTCACACTTGTACACTTCCTATTTTGACTTACCTCCCCGATTGTATCCACTAACTGGTCACACTTTTACACTTCTTATTTTTACTAACCTCCCTGATTGTATCCACTTACTGGTCACACTTGTACACTTCCTATTTTGACTTACCTCCCCGATTGTATCCGCTAACTGATCACACTTGTACACTTCCTATTTTTACTTACCTCCCTGATTGTATCCACTAACTGGTCACACTTGTACACTTCCTATTTTGACTTACCTCCCCGATTGTATCCACTAACTGGTCACACTTTTACACTTCCTATTTTGACATACCTCCCTGATTGTATCCACTAACTGGTCACACTTGTACACTTTCTATTTTGACTTACCTCCCTGATTGTATCCACTAACTGGTCACACTTGTACACTTTCTATTTTGACTTACCTCCCTGATTGTATCCACTAACTGGCCACACTTGTACACTTCCTATTTTGACTTACCTCCCTGATTGTATCCACTAACTGATCAAATTTGTACACTTCCTCTTCAGCTTTCTTCCAATTCTCATCTAATGTTTTTATCTACAAACATATGAATTTCATACTAAACAGTAGTTGCATGTGATGTTGTACAAAGTATTCACCCATATCTTATTAGACATTTACAAACAGTTGCATGCCTAGTGGGTATAATAAAAATCTAAACTATCAAAGGAAGTGAAGGTCTGACAGATCTGAAAATTGCTTACATGGTACAATTAAAAATACAGATGCAGACCAAATACCAAATCATTCCATAATATAAAAATTTGTAAGGGGTTCACGGAACCCTGTGCCTCGCCTGCAATTGCTGCTGTCAGTGTATAAGTGTAATGTTGACTTAAAAAGTGAGTCCATTTATCAGTAAAATACAGAATTTAAAAAATAATCAAACTTTTTCTTCAGATGCTATTTCTTGGTCTTGAAGATCAGCTTGTCCAAGTTTCATGACAATCCATGAATGTTTACAAATTTATCATGTAAAAAAAATTGTATACGGAAAATGAAAATAAATATTTTCTAAATTTTGCTCTGAATACTGTCTTTTGGTCATAAACAAGCTTCTGTACAAATTTCATAAAAACAAAGTTAATGATGTCTAAAAAACTTTAACCACAAACTGAACCTAAATGTTGACGCTGCCAACGGAATCTAGGATCGCTATGTCTCGCTATTGTGACATAAATGTCACAGGCTTGACAAAAGGCTGAGAAATATGAGACAAAAAATATGAATAGACACACAACTTCATTGAAATATATACCTCTCACTGGGTTTATATGTTCTGGTCACTTTTGACTAAAAGGAAATACATTTTATACATTTATGCTGCAAACAGAAAGCAGATGAATGATATTTTCCGTTTCTCCTTACCCTCTTAGAAGCCTTTACAGCTAATGTTTCATGGTATTCTTCCCTTTGTTTCACCTTTTCTTTTAATTTCTGAATCTGAAATAATTGTTTAAAAACTTACATATAATTTTTATCTTTATTTAAATAATAATTATTTCATTGTCTATCATCTTAGAATATTCGTTTGCAAAAATCAATGCCAAGCATTATTGAGTTCTGATACAGTTTGGGTTTCTACTTAGATATAGATAGTGTTGTTCCTCTTCTTTAACCTAACATGTGATGGATGTATGGATATTATCTTCTTTCTTTTTTGGATAGTTTTTTCCTTTACAATCATAAACAAATACTTTAATTTCATATTTGGCAAAAGTGTTCAACTACAATATTTTTATTTCCATTTTAATAAAGAATTTGATCTTTTCCGTTTATATAAACCAGCATACTGCTCATACACAAACAACAGTGTTCAATTGTTCTAATACAATCTTTTTAAGTTTTAATGCTTCTAATATTTTGCAACGTTGACAACATTTGCCTGTGGTTAAACTTTAGTGATCCTCAAGTGAATAGTTGTAGTGAAATATCGTATGACAGTAAATACAGCTGGACAGGATAAGCTATTTTTATGTTGAACCTTCAAAACTACCCTTCTTCTGTTTATTTATAATATCATGAATATAAATATGAAATCATGTTATAATTGGCAATTACTAGTGTCTTTTATAGGTTACAATATGGTATGGGGTGACCTGTAGTTCTTTACACCCCTGTCCTATTGTCTCTGGTGAATAAATGTCTCATTGGCAAGCATAACACATATTTATATTCAAATTTACTACAATATTGTCAGCATGTACATAAGATTGGAGCTTGCTTAATTAATCACTGATTACAAGTTAATCCCCAGATTCATCCTAACCAAATCAGTAGCTACTAGATATTTTTGTTTACTTCCAGTGGTATTTAGCTACTGAATATTTATGATTACCTCCAGTTTATGTGTAGTTATATAGTTGTGGTATTTAGCTACTGATTATTTATGATTACCTTCAGTTTATGTGTAGTTATATCGTTGTGGTATCTAGCTACTGATTATTTATGATTACCTTCAGTTTAAGAGTAGTTATATCGTTGTGGTATTTAGCTACTGATTATTTATGATTACCTTCAGTTTAAGAGTAGTTATATTGTTGTGGTATTTAGCTACTGATTATTTATGATTACCTTCAGTTTAAGAGTAGTTATATCGTTGTGGTATCTAGCTACTGATTATTTATGATTACCTTCAGTTTAAGAGTAGTTATATCGTTGAGGTATTTAGCTACTGATTATTTATGATTACCTTCAGTTTAAGAGTAGTTATATCATTGTGGTATCTAGCTACTGATTATTTATGATTACCTTCAGTTTAAGTGTAGTTATATAGTTGTGGTATTTAGCTACTGATTATTTATGATTACCTCCAGTTTATGTGTAGTTATATCGTTGTGGTATTTAGCTACTGATTATTTATGATTACCTTCAGTTTAAGTGTATCTAGCTACTGATTATTTATGATTACCTTCATATTAAGTGTAGTTATATCGCTGTGGTATCTAGCTACTGATTATTTATGATTACCTTCAGTTTATGTGTAGTTATATCGTTGTGGTATTTAGCTACTGATTATTTATGATTACCTTCTTATATCGTTGTGGTATTTAGCTACTGATTATTTATGATTACCTTCAGTTTAAGTGTAGTTATATAGTTGTGGTATTTAGCTACTGATTATTTATGATTACCTTCAGTTTATGTGTAGTTCTATCGTTGTGGTATCTAGCTACTGATTATTTATGATTACCTTCAGTTTAAGAGTAGTTATATCGTTGTGGTATCTAGCTACTGATTATTTATGATTACCTCCAGTTTATGTGTAGTTATATCGTTGTGGTATTTATCTACTGATTATTTATGATTACCTCCAGTTTATGTGTAGTTATATCGTTGTGGTATTAAGCTACTGATTATTTATGATTACCTTCAGTTGAAGAGTAGTTATATCGTTGTGGTATCTAGCTACTGATTATTTATGATTACCTTCAGTTTAAGTGTAGTTATATCGTTGTGGTATCTAGCTACTGATTATTTATGATTACCTCCAGTTTATGTGTAGTTATATCGTTGTGGTATTTAGCTACTGATTATTTATGATTACCTTCAGTTTAAGAGTAGTTATATCGTTGTGGTATTTAGCTACTGATTATTTATGAATACCTTCAGTTTAAGAGTAGTTATATCGTTGTGGTATCTAGCTACTGATTATTTATGATTACCTTCAGTTTAAGTGTAGTTATATCGTTGTGGTATCTAGCTACTGATTATTTATGATTACCTTCAGTTTAAGAGTAGTTATATCGTTGTGGTATCTAGCTTCTGATTATTTATGATTACCTTCAGTTTAAGTGTAGTTATATCGTTGTGGTATTTAGCTACTGATTATTTATGATTACCTCCAGTTTATGTGTAGTTATATCGTTGTGGTATTTAGCTACTGATTATTTATGATTACCTCCAGTTTATGTGTAGTTATATTGTTGTGGTATTTAGCTACTGATTATTTATGATTACCTCCAGTTTAAGTGTAGTTATATAGTTGTGGTATCTAGCTACTGATTATTTATGATTACCTTCAGTTTAAGTGTAGTTATATCGTTGTGGTATTTAGCTACTGATTATTTATGATTACCTTCAGTTTAAGTGTAGTTATATCGTTGTGGTATTTAGCAAAGTTGCCTGTAGGTTCTCCTGTGTCACCTGCCAGTACAGCCTTCAACTGAGTAGATAAGATCTGTTTTTCTGCCTCTAACTGTTCTATCTGTGACTTGGTTGTGGACAGGTTGGATTTCAAATACTATAAAATAAATTGTTTTATATTTGTTTTTCATTTGTTGTATTGTACAAATCAGGTTTTTGGTTTTTGGTTTGAATTGTTTTACATTTTATTATGTTGGGGCCTTTTATAGCTTGCTATGCTGTATGGGTTTTGCTTATTGTTGAAGGCCATAAAGTGGCCTATAATTGCTAACATCTATGTCATTTGGTCTCTGGTGGACAGTTTACTTGGCAATCATACAACATCTTCTTATTTTACATTATATATACTTATATTATCTGACAAAATTTAAATTCATAGGGAAGCTGCTTACATACAACATTATATTCTTTTTCAAATTATAAGTCTCATTTTATAATAGGTAAACCATATCTGAGAGATGAAATAGCATGTTTAACTCATTAGAAATGAATGAAGACTTAAATTCCAGTATGACTACTTTTTGTGGGAGTTGTTACTCTCTCTGGATCTGGAATTCATCCTTACACTAAGTTCTATGATTGTGGGTCATTTAAAATCTGAAAAATGACCTACAAATGTAAAACTTTATATAATTCAACGAAACGTAAAACGTTATTTATAAGATTCATATAGGTCAGAGTAAGAGATAAAGTTACGACATGTTAATATTTGTCATTTTTCAAATTGTTTTTTATATAACCCCTTCAATATGAGGTTAACACCTACACTCATTTCTGCCTCCTGCTTTACATAGAAACCTATCTTGTCAGACAGACTTGTAATATTTTCTGTCAGTGTGGATATGTTTGCCTCTGATTCAGAAAGATGACTTATCTTCATGGACAATTCTTCTTTTGTTCTCTTTTCTGATATTTGGCATATATCTAATTGTTCACACAATTCTTTACTGTAAAATACAAAAAGAGAAAAGCTGAAGAGAGAAAAATAAAGGCAAAACAATATTTTTAGCATGCAGGTTTTTTTTATAATAATTTTGAATCAATCTGACCAAACTGATTTTTTTGTTCTCTTTTGAATTGTTTCTTATTTTCCCTACCCCCTTGGCCATTTATAGCTTACTATAGTGTATACTTTTCCTCATCATTTTAAGGCCATATGGTGACCTCAAGTTATTCACATTCCTATCCTCTGATCTTTGGTGAAAAGTTATCTCATTGCCAATCAGACCACATCTCCTTATTATTGTATAACCTTTACTCTCCGTTTACTGAATCATTTTCTGAATGCTAACTAATTTTTTTTTAGAAAAGCATGAACACTATCTGAAAAAGCGCAATTCTTTAAGTGATACATATTGAAAATTATAACATTCACATGGGTGATCGATGAGTGTAGTGGATGGTGTGAGTAGTGGGTACCAAGGAAAGATTACATTATAATTCTCAATGATCTTGTAATTTTTGTCATATATATGGAAAAAACTAACAAGATGATATTCATCTTCATGGGCATCAATGTTAAGCGTGCAAAAATGTCTCCAAACATGAGATACTTAAATGCACTCACCATTTCTTTATTCAGAAATGACAGATTCAATTTTTAGAATTCTTCAGAAATGTTTCAAGTTTCAAAAATAATGAGATAGTAGGTAAATGTCGGTAAGTAATTTTGCTACTCATTACTTCTATTTCAATTTCCAATTTGTGACCATCCCTCAATCTTACTTTTCTATAGAACGATTTCTGATTGAACAATGTTTGAATATGTTGTTTTATCTTCAAATATCTTCATATTCAAAATACATTGCAAAAAATACAACTGGTACAGGTAAAAACTGTTAATACAACTTTAAGACTGACATAACATGCTTCTCATAAAAACATGTGAAAGTTGAACTTACTTTTCTAATTGTAAATCATCGATTGAAAGCCTGGAAGCTTTTTCTATGATACCAGCACATCTAATTATTTCACTAAATGTTTCACCAATACATTCTATCTGTTCAGCCAGCCTTAGATTAGTGTCCTCTAACTGTGACTGAGACATAACACTCATATTTTTCATAGTAGAATCTAATGGTCCAGGCTTGGATTTGATTACACTAGTTCCAGTCCTCACTGGGGCAAAGGCACTATTTCTCCGGGAAAATCCTAATTTATTCCTACTGAGGGCACTGGGACTTTCCTCGATAGAGTCTCTGTCTTTCCGTTTTTCACAAATAGTGGACATTTCATCAAACGGTGTGACACCCTCTATGTAGGGTGAGGTACTCCTTGATGATTTGTCACTTGGACTAGATTTACATGATTCATATTCACTGTCACTCTGGCCTTCCGCTGCTTTAATTACCATAGAAAGGAATGATCGATCCTGCACTTTACGACAAGAGTCTGAAATATTGTTTGTTAGTGTCTTCCTTGCAGACTTCTTAGCTGATGGTTTTAACCTTGGTTTCATACAGCTGGTTTGTGGACTCGACAGCTCTGACTAAAAATAAAAAATCTAGCTTATTTCAAAAGTCCACATGTATTTCTGGAAATTTCATTTTAAGTAGATCAGGTAAATTTAAAAAAAAAACAGTGATCTTCTTGTTAAATTAGGTTTCTTTAATTTTCATGCCATTTTCACATTTCTCAATCAGTGTGAGAAAAATATTTCTCATCTCTAGAGAAAACTTTGATCTCAGCAAATGATTGGTCAAAACTCAATGATGACATCAAATTGTCTTGATTTCTACTGAATTTTCTATTGTGACTCATGAAAAAAGGTGATCATGCCTGATACTTCATATATAAAGAACACAACTTTCTTCAAATCTTTGAAAAGAAAGGATAAACCTTGTTTAGATATCGTCTAAAAATCATTAGAGAACCAGATTCCACTACTATATCTTGTGTATTAGGACACTTCTCCACTCTCAACAGTTAAATTTTAAATATTCAAAAATCTCGGCAAGCATCATTTTTTAAATTTTAAAATTCAACGGTCTCAAGTGGAGAAATACTGTAACACATTTGATGCAGTGGTGGAATCTATATGTTTCAGCTTACATCAACAGTAACCATACTATAAACTTTGAACTGGAAAAAATGCATAGACACTTTTTTGCTTAATTTGCTTTTTCTTCTTACAACGTAATGTTAATGATAAGATGTGAATAACTTAGCTTATGTACCATTAAAACCCATATCATCAATCTTATACCTTTACATGTACATGCTCAAGTCCTGCTCTGCTCCTTAAACCTTGTAACAAACTAGCCATTTTGTTTTCTAACTCCACTAATAAGAAAGTGCTTTCCCTTAACTCAGCCTTCCGTGTCTCAAGTTCTGAGGACTTTCTCTGGAGCTCGCTCTCTGCTAGATCAACACCCTGTCTACAACGACACCAAAGTACAGACTAGAATAAGATTTTAATAGTAAACATTTTACATCTTAAATTCATATAGTATGAATTCTTTTTTGAACAGACATACGAGATTGATTTTTAAATTAAGAAAATTTGATTTTACTAGACAATACAGTTAAAAAAATTAGTTAATCTATATACAACTTCCAATGAATAATATTCAAAAACTATATAGTCTTCAAAAATATTTTTATTTGCTTCTACAGCTATTGACCACTTCTAAATTGTTGGTTGTTTGAATACCAATGTCAGTCAAGGGTTATACATAATTTTTTTTACTGGTATTGCTATTCAACTTTGTAGATAGTGTGATCACCCCTAATCATCCAGATTTTTTTTACTTAGATATAAGAAAGTCAAACTTTCTGCACTTCATGGTTAACTCTTTATTAAATTACTCTAATAAAGTGCTCAATTGTCTTTCTAAGATTCTTTAGTAGTTGTCTCTACTATCCATAAAAGTTTTTTGTCCTTTGGTATGTTTTTTAATGGTTAGTGCCGATCTTATGAGTTAAGCCCTTTCCAACTGATTTTTGATTTATTCTGATGTGCTGTTACACCCTTGTCCCATGTTAGCCAATTGAGGAGGGTTGGGCGCCCACAAAAATGTTTAACTCACCATATTCATCAAGTACCTTTCAGGACCCTGTACAGTGGTTGTTGTTCTTTTGGTTTTTTTGTTGTTTTTTTGTTGTTGTTGGTTGTCATACTGAATCTCCTCATTTTTATAATGTCTGATTTTTTTTGTTGCACAATTCACCTGTACAGTGATGTAAATAACATTAGTCGACAAGATCAAAGGAAGTATGACAAGTGACTGATAAGTGTTAATATTATAGGATCCTGTTAAGGTATGTTTATGTTTGTCTCTGTTTTTGTAAAATCACAATAGCAAAGAAATTAGTCAGTAACAAAGCTATATAAAGGAGGTAATAAGATTAAGTGAAAATTGCATTGTTTATGAAATTATACACCATGAAGAGGACATTTGTAAATAACCAATGATAAGTGACGTTTCACAATCTTACACAAATTGCACACATGATAAACCCTCCAATATTTATTTAAACTTACTGTAAATAGTCCTGATTTCCTCTGAATACAGCTAAACTATCCTAAAGAAAAATATTTCAAAATAATTAAAACAAGTGAATTTGTGAGCTACTGCTCACTAATGATATCCCTGCCCCCGCTAAAAGTATAAGGTAAACAGGAAGTTGTTGAGTGATGAATCTGAAAACGCATCACACGGTATAGCTGACTCATATAAACCCTGAAACCAAATTTCAGAAATCCTTGTAATGCAATCCTGAGAAAGATGCGACGAAAAATATTCATGGGACAGATGGATGGACAGACAGAGGTAAATGGACAGACAGAGGTAAAACAGTATACCCCCACTTTTTATAGCAGGGGTATAAAAGCAAGTTAATGAGATAGCCATCCAAATACACAAAAAAACAAAAGACATCTTAAGTCCAACATAATTATAGTATTCATTACTCCACAAGTGCCTATACAAAAGACATCTTTAGTCCAACATAATTATGGTATTCATTATTACACAAGTGCCTATACAATATGTCAAGCTCTAAATCAAGAAAAGTTGTGATTATAATTAACTAAGACTAGCAATGACTGTTATCAAAACTATATTCCTTAAATGACAAAAACATTATTAAAAAAATATAAAAAAGAAAAGCAAAAAAAAAAAAAACACTTCCAGGGTTCTGACTTAAGCCACATAGACACTTAGTCTTTTTAAACTAGATTTGGAGATTGCAACCTTCCACCTTTTAATTTTGATCAGTGGAATATTAAAATGTTAATAAAAGCATACAGAAACAACAAGTAAAACTGTCACTAATGATACCACCCACCATCGCCCACCCTTTAAGAATTTTGTATACAGGAAGTTAATGAGCGATGATTCTGAAAACATATTACACAATAAAGCATGTGTGTCCTTTGGAGCAGGGTATAATAATTTGTGTCTATAGGACATGCCCAAATTACACTATAAGAAATAATACCATACTAAAGAATGCCTGCAGTTACTATAATTAAATTCAAAGTATTTTATCTGTTGATATGAAATAATACCGTCCTACAATCTAAAATTGTTGACTGTACTTTGGAGTAGATGTATTAATACAGCAATGTTATAAACAGTACAGGGAGACTAAGATGATCAAGTTAACAAGTGATCAGTGGTATAAAATGACTGTCCCATTAGCAATTACACCTAATTTTATATTTATACTGGTATTTTAAAGGGGATTTTACATTGCAGTGAAACAGATATTGCTTTACATCCATGTTATTTGGTCTCTGGTGGAAAGTTGTCTCATTGGCAATTCTACCACATTTCCTTATTTCCATATAGTCACCTACAAGTTGACCATAATTTCTTTCAGTATGGTCATTATGATATCTGTACTTCCATTACTTAATTTACTTTTAAAATACAATAATACCTGTCATAAATACTTACTCTAAGCTCCATATTTTCCAGTCTGGTATGACTCAGTTCTTGGTTAGCCAGGGATAAATCTTCATCAAGTTTGACTAGCCTGGAGGCTTGTTCTGATGAAAATTCTCTGGTGGAAAACAGATCATTCTCTAAAGTATCTATGTCCTCGTTTAATGAGTCCACAGTCCGCTGGAGATTTACTGATAACAATTCTAATCTATCAAATGAAAAAATATACAAATTACTATTAGTGAAGTCAATTACTAAATATAAGTCCTGTAAAACACAGTCTGAACTATTAATTTTGGGGAATCTCTTATGGAACTTAAAACAAATGTGCACTACATGAAAATTTCACACTACAGACAATCTAAATTAATGTTTATCTTACTGTCGTGGATGACCTGATACACAAGTTCACAGAGAAGAACAAAAATCATTTACAAGTAAGACTTTAGTTCATGTGTATAATCATTGTTGAATATTAATATCAAAACACACTTGTAATGGATAGTGAAGACCCATCAGGCTAAGATTTCTGTCTTATTCAACCAACCATATTCTACAAACTAACAAGAATGTGTCCAGTAAATGGATGCCCCACTCGGACTATCATTTCTATGTTCAGTGGGCCCTAAAATTGGGGTCCAGACTCTAATTTGGCATTAAAATTAGAAAGATCATATCATAGGGAACATGTCTACTAAGTTTCAAGTTGATTGGATTTCAACTTCATCAAAAAATTACTTTGACCAAAAACTTTAACCTGAAGCAGGACAGACGGACGAACGGACGCACAGACCGAAAAACATAATTCCCCTCTACTGTCGTAGGTGGGGCATAAAAATCATTTACCTCACATGATTCAATAACTGGTATCCTATATTAAGCTTTTATTCAAATGTGTACACTACAACTGGCAATGTTTAAATCCAGTAATCTACAGCTTACAATTACAAGAACAGTTGAAAAGGGGCATTAGCAACGATTTAGTCAAACAATAAAAGTATGATTTTTTGGGGGGAAAGAAGACTAAATAGTGTGTGTATAATTTTATGAACAAGCAGAAATGAATATAGCATATTGTTTTTCTTTAATTGTTTAACATTTCTTACCGATATAACATGTTACTTTTATTATTCTTCCCTTAGTTTATTTATTTTGTATTTACATTGTGTCATAGGTCAAATTTATTTGTTCAGTGTATGTTCAATGGTGTTAATATGTCCTTTGACTGAGTTAAGCTATTTCAGTTGATATTTTATAGTGTGTCTTTCTATAATGTGATGTTACACTATTGTTTCGGAAAAGGGGTGAAGGTTTGGTACCATTAAAACGTTTAAACCCGCTGCATTTGTTTGCACCTGTCCTAAGTCAGGAATCTGATGTTCAGTAGTTGTCGTTTGTTGATGTGGTTCATAAGTGTTTCTCGTTTTTTATATAGATTAGACCGTTGGTTTTCCCGTTGGAATGGTTTTACACTAGTAATTTTTTGGGGCCCTTTATAGCTTACTGTTCGGTGCGAGCCAAGGCTCCGTGTTGAAGACCGTACTGTGACCTATAATGGTTTACTTTTATAAATTTTGACTTGGATGGAGAGTTGTCTCATTGGCACTCATACCACATCTTCTTATATCTATATAGAGATATATTTATAGACAACAATCACAATGTCACATATGTAACTTTTGAAGATTCTAGTGCTTTAATGTATCCTTATTATTTCTGTTAAATCTTTGTATCTATTCCAAATTATTTCATTAACAGATGTTTTGAAATTAGATTTGGTAGAATGCATGCGATGATAACATATGAAAGCAAAAAATGCGTTATTACTATTAACCTTCTGGTGCATGTTTGTTCTTTCATCATAATTTTTCCCTTGCGCTGTTCAATGGCCAAAGTTCTAACAAGAGGTCTTGTTGTTAAGGTCATAGCATATGGAAAAATGTTGTCGAATAAGAGTATTGGAAATCAATAATTCTACAACAGCACATATCTGAAGATTTTGATCAGATAAAAGATTTTAAAAGAAAGTCCATGTACACATGTTTTGTCAGAAATCTAAAAATATTCTTACTTTGAAAACTGTTTACCAATGCTATAGGATGTAGAATTAAGAAATGTTGAACATCAGATTATCAAATGAAATCAAATTACATTGTTTGCAAAGGTGACTGTTGTTGCTTATTTTCCATTTATTACCCTCATGACTAACATTTATCTTACCTCTCTTTTTCTTCTTGGAATATTACTAATGTACTAGCTAATTTCCTTTCATTGTCACTTGACCTACAAAACATAATATATTATGTCATATCAAATCTATATTCAACTTTTTCATTGTGTAAAGTAATCATGTGTCATTCTTTAATCTACAGTAAGAAATTCAAACAGGCATTATAATACATGTATTAATGACTGCTCTCAATATAAATGTAAGTCATTTTCAAAATGCCATGGTGATGCAGCATTTGTTCACATAAACCTGTCAGAAGCCAGAATGTCTGTTGCTGATCAACAGATAGCAGATTCACCACATTTTCTGGGACTGACAAAGTATGTATACTCAAATTGGTCCATTGGTCCAAAATTAATTATTCTATTCTGCAGATTTAAAGGCCAATTGAGCAAATTATCATTTAATTTTCTAGTACACTTATTATATTGAGACTCAAAATTCAACTAATCAAATCACTCTATTTGGTGTTTCAAACACACTTTTTGTAATCTGAGTACTGAGTACAGTTTAATGACCGCAAGTCCAGTTTTGTAGTTTGGAGTAACTTTGGTTGTGTTGGCAGACTTTGTTTCAGATTATAACATGCATACAGTTGCTTACTTATATGTCATTTGGTCTCTGGTGGCAGTGGTGGAGAGTTGGCTCATTGGCAATCATACCATATCTTCTTATTTTTATAAATATAAAAATGGGTGTTTTCGTCAAACATTTATTAGGGCTATTCCATTAAAATGTATGTGGGAGGGTAGGAAGGGAGGTTAACTATTGAATGTGGGTCATGGGTCTTTTTTCAGTATGCGTCTATTACCATTATGCAAAATTATCTAAAAAATGGTTCTTGGTTGTTGGGATAATTTGCAAGTCCCTTCCTACCCTCCCACATACATTTTAATGGAATAGCCCTTATCATAAAGATAATTTCTTTGTATATAATACAAAAAAAAGGTTTGTAAAAGTGAAAAATAGAAACTTCAAATTCAAATTCAAATCTTTGATTTAGATATATTGGTAGAATGTATATTCACTTGTCTATTGTATCCATATATATTGGTTCTCATTTTGAGAATACAGGTTTTTTCCCTATATGAATGAATGCACTTAAAACCAATTAAGAGCAAGAAAACAAACCATTTCTTGAAGTCTTGATATTCGTTTTCTTTGGCTTCAGTGATGTGCCTAAGATTGGATATTTCCTGGACTGCTGCCTTGTCGTTCTCTTGTAAGTCATCTACCTGTTGTACTAGTGAATGTTTTACCAGGTTGGCTTCTTCTATTGCTGTCATTAATAAACACAACATAAATATCGTTAAGCAAGATATATGCTTGGTTATGTACCAGTGCAAGATGAACGTGAAGTTTTCTCTTTATACTTGTTATACAGGCATAAGGAATGAAGGAATGAATGTACTGAAAATTCATTTAATTTCAAATAACCTTTGCATTATAAGATTTATAATGACTCACCTTTAATTACATGAATAAAAGATATGTTTTTATACAAATCCAGGACAACTACCTTCATTCATTAAGGGGTTGTTAACCTTAGTCTGATTTCAAAGTACACCTACCTGATCTTGTGGTCATTAACTCTCTACTCAGGATCTGTACTTGGTTTGTGGCACTTAGCAGATCAGATGATGTACTCTCATATAATGATTCAATCTGAAAATAAATTGATGATATATTATACTGTATCTTGTATATACATGTATGTATTTGAGTTTCCCTGGCAACTTGATTTTGTGGCTTTTATAAATTCTTGTTTTAAGTCTTGAGAAAAAAGTATTTTGTTGAACACTTACAAAATTCCCTTTGGACAGGCCTTTTGGTCATAAAACTTCACTCAATACTAGGCATACAAAATTTGTATCAGAAGGGGGAAAGCAATTTTCCATGCATTACAGATTTAATGAATCTTGCATCTAGGATATTTAGATTATGTAGCTGTGCCTAAGAAGCTAAAAATATATTTGTGGCATTATTTATTACTATTCTACTTAGGTTTTCATAAAATATGCGAAGCTTAAAGAATAAACATTTATCAAATGAACAAAATGGCAGAGATGTACTAGCTAACTAGGTATAAAAATTAATGTCCATGTCAGAATAAACAGACAGTTGGGGCGGTATGGATGAGCCACTGGAATAGGTCACTATTTCAAGATTCATAATATATAAAGTTAAGAAATTTAGATTAAATATACAATAAGGTTTCTAATTACATCATAAGTATCTGAAAGGTTTGTTTTATATTTTATATATTTATAATAGGGTTGGATTTTTTTAATATTCAAAGTATATGAAAGGGGTTAGGTACTGAATGTTTCAGCGGCTCATCCCTACCACAAAAGGATTGAAGTGCCAACCTTCCCCTCCCCTAAAGAAGAGTTAAAATATATTCTTTATGGTATTTTTAAAATTCAACAATTATAACATTTTCTCTTTAATCTGAAAAATTTAATTCTCACAAACTTTCTCTTTATCTTGATTTAAAAATTTCTAGGATTTATAGATAAAAAGGCCTAATTTTAGATTACAATAAAGTCCCAATTCAAGAGTTTTTTCAGCTATTTTTTACCTGCATCATACTAGACCTAGATGTTTCTAGAGTATTCTTCAGACTGTCATAATTTTCAGCCATTTCTTTCTTCTCTGTAGCAAATCTCTCACATTCTTTCTCATTTTCACATTGTTTTTGCATAACTTCAAGTCTCTTTAAAAAAATCAGATTTTTATGAGTTCTCTATAATTTTTACGATTTCATTTTAAGTTCATCACATTTCCTCATTTTAGGTTTATATGGCTTATTATAGGCAACTGGTACATAAATGGACTACCTCACAGATCATTATGAAATTTGATGGTACAAGAGCATGATGAACTGCATATATGAATATCAAAAAGTTATACATGTATCATATTTATATTTTCGAAGATGAAGCAAATTGAATATCCCTAACAATAGAAGTTCTAACGTAAAGAATTCATGTAAATATTATAAAAACAATTCTGCAATTTTTACTTTGAATTATGATTTCAATCCAGATTTTAAAGGAGAAAGAAGTTTATTAAGAAGCAAATGCTACAAAAGAAAGCATCAAAGCCTTTTCTGACATAACAGAGATAAAAATCTATATCTAAAAAATATATTACAACCTGAAAGCATTTATAAGCAGCCTATCCATTATAGATAAATGGAGAATGTGTCCATGGGACACAGATGATGCCCCAGCACCCAAATTCAAACTTGATCTGTGTTTTGTGGTAATAAGCATTGTGTATAAGATTCATAACATTTGGTTGAGGCAAACTAAAGTGAGGATATGGAAATCAATTTTGGGACATACGGACGGACGTAGACGTACAAGGGTGACACTTAATGCCCCCTCCGCTGTGGCGGTGGCATAAAAATTACTTTCATACCTTCAATAATGGTTATGTCCAACAAAGGTCAACTTATTTAGAGAAAATATTTTTTCTGCACATCATCTCAGAACTTAACATTCTTTGACTAGTGTTAGAAAGAAGAGCACTTTCTTATACCTGGATACAAGAAGTTTACTACACAAACCTGTACATCTACTCCTCTCTTCATGTTCATCAATCTGTTAGCTGCTGCCCTGACTTTCCTGTAATTATCTGACACAACTTTCTGTATTTCACTCTAAAACAAAAAAACATTCTCATCTACTAATGTTCAAAGAAAACTTTGTGAAAAATCATCTCTTTTGATCTAACAGGTGGGATGAGTTTATCCGTAATAAAGAAATAGAGTGTCTTCCATCTCATATGATGTGTTGTAAAATGCTTTTGACTCCCAAGTAAATGTTTTGCCAATTTTAAAAGTCCTGTATATTGATTAAAATGAATAATACACATCAAATGGATACACATGGAAACAGCCATAGCAAATATTAATTTTTCTGACTAATTAGACATTCTGAACTGGGCTAACAGCTTAAAAAGTCTCACAAGGTATAAACAAATTAGCTTCTAAGACCTGGTTGCAGAAAAACCAATTAACATTATTCATTGTATAAATTTTATGTGTTAATTAAATCATTCAAATAGACAACAGATTATAAATTGGTGACAGAATTTTCCATCATTTATCAGGAAGACCTATAAAGCCATATGATACCTGTAATTGTTCTGCTAACTTGAGACTGTCAGTTAGTTCTTTATGCTCTACTAACTCTGTCTGTAATTCTAAGATCAGATTATGTGCACTTCTCATCTGATGATCATTTTGTTTCTGTTCTAGTTCTTCTTTTAAAGTGGCAATCTATAATTATATAAATTACTGAAATACTGCAATATTCTAATAATATGAAGCTCTTAAAATCATGCATATAAATAGAGCCATAGAAGCTAACAACATTAAAATCAAATAGGTCACCAGCTGTTTTTAGTAAAACATAATAATAAATGACATTTTAGTTGTCTCTTAAATTGGCAATCATGTCACATCTCCTTATCTTTTAGTTTTACTAATATTCTGATAGTACAAAAATTGTTAGTTTTTTTTATGTATGACCATTTTCAATATAAAAATTGGGGAAAAATAACAGCAGTGTTTTCTCCTTTCTTTAGAATGGTGTACACATTCTATTTAAATGTGAAATTTTCACAAAAAAAGGTTAATACCTATGATCACTGTAACCTTCCATTAAACCACAAGCTGACATATTTTATTGATATTTCAAAATTTATTTAGATTGTTTATTTTGTTTTATTGTCCAATTTCATATAAATATTCAGTAAATTGGTTTTTAATTTATACAATAAATTTCCTTTTGTATGTAATAGTTATAAATTATCTCCCTTTAAAATATGGATTTGCAGTAATTTTTTCTCTCACAAATAATATTCCACCTAAAAAAGCACATGTGCTATTCTACATATGACTGCAGCAAATTTTTTAAATCAAAGTATGTAAAAACCACAAAAGATTGAATTAAATGAGCGCGCATGATACACCATCCCTTTTTCAAAGAATAAAGTTCCAGAACTCATCAATGTCATATCAGAAATTTATAAAAAAAAAACTAAAAGGAGCTTATTTCAATAGATATAACCCATAAAAGTGGTATAAATGATAAAAGTGTTTTTGAGTTATTGTCCGAAAATTGGAAAATTCCCCTTTTTTAATGGATTAAATCCCATAACTCATATACATAAAATCTAAAATTTATAAAAATCAAAAGGGAGCTTACGTCAATAGATATATTAACAATTCACCAAAGTTTCATGCAAATAGGTTAAAGCCTTTTTGAGTAATTGTCCGACATGTTGACAACAGACGGACAGATGAACGGACAATGGTATACCATAATACGTCCCGTAAACGGTCGTATAAACATTGTTTTAATACAAGTAGTTGTTCAAATAGTTTTATTTAAAAAATATTTAGTTTATACCCTGAATTATCTCCCTTCCCTAAAAATATATTTTTTGGCAATTGATGAAAGTCTAACTACAACATAAGCTACTGTTTGATATGTGACAAAAAAGTTAATCTGTGTTTGAATTGATGATCATTATAAACAAGCCAGGCAAATGGAGATAACTACAAATCATTTTGTTCATTTAGATTTTAAACATATATGAATCATGACTTTTTAAAAGTTTGAATCTTTATAATTTAATTTTAAGTACAAAACAACTATCAAAGAGCAACAGTACAAATTATGGAGGAATGATATTTTTTTGGCTAATACCTCAATGGTTTTTGTTTGCGTAGAATCAGCTAATTGTATTTCCATTTCACTACACTTTATTTTCAGATTTTCAATCTCTGACACAAACTGATCTTTTTCCTTTGAAGATCTGGCATTAAGCTGAATAATTTCTTCTTTAAGATATGTAACATTCTCTTCACTTTCCTGGAGGCTGTTGGTTAATTTTTCTATTTTCTCTTCATACTCTTCCTAGAAAAGGTAAATAAGGAGAATTATAAAAAAAAAACACTATCATGAATATGGGACAATAACTTCGACACTTATCGTTAAATCATTGAGATTGCCACATACATGTAGTTTTAAAAAGCATTACTATTACATTTATTGTAAATTTTATCACAATCATGTAGTCTGTATGAAAAGTTTTGTCACAAGATTCATAATATTTTTCAGACACAACCCAAAGTTTATCTAACCTAATCATTTTAAATATCTTGGTCACCAGTAATCTACCTTGCAGCCTTTTCCAGATATCAGTACTTTGTAATTTTCATTTACTGATCTCATTCAGTAGATTAATTGATATTTTCTCAGATACTATTTTTTGAAGATTTCAAGGCAAAATAAACCCACAAATATGCTTGATCAAAATAACATTTTGAAAATAATTATTGTAGAAACATTTCAAGACAATTACTATATACCTAGATTGCTGGAAAAGGCAATTTTTTTCCCAAACCACAAATAACTGATAACCATGAGATGTTCTCTTACTATAGAAAACTGGCAAATTCTGTTAAACATTCACCATTGTATAGACATAAAGTATTTATACCTTCAAATTACTTTTCTCCAGATCAACTTTCCCTTGGTTATCATTTATCATCTTCTGTTTTTCTTTGATAACTGCCTTTAGTTCTGTTATCCTGGACTTAAAATGGTCTCTTTCTTTTTCTACTTTCCCTATATCAAATTTATAACGTTCAGCTTCCAGGGCATAAGTGTCCAGTTTATTGGCCAAGATTCTTGGATGCTGCTTCCTAATCTCATCTGCTGTAAACCTATAAAAAATACAACATGCAAGTATTTCAAGTTTACAAGTTTAATGACCCTGATTTCCCAAATTTCATATTTGGCAAAAAATACTGATCAAATGTCGGCTATATACAGTGCGTTGGTTTTCCAGATATTTAGAACATCTCATTGTTTTTTTCCCCTCTGAAATGAGTATGGAGTGTGTTATTTTTATTTAATACAGTTGTAGTGTTAGTCTAGAATTTTTTTTTCTTTTTTTAAAGCCATGATTAAAATAGTTGAGATTCTGTTACTCAACAGTTTTTAAGAGACAATTTTTTTCAATACAAGATGTTTATACTATTGTTTTATACAACAATGAAAATCTCATTTGTCTGTTATCTTCAAAACACTGCTCATTTACAAGCCTCCAAGGGGCAATTTTTGAAGGCTTTGCGCAATTACTTAAGATCTAAACAATTAGTTTCTTTGTTGAATTAATGAGATGAAACGTTGAACTCTAATAAAAAATTATGAGCTAACCAGAGACAAATGGTTTAAGACATGTTTTTACATCCCAAAACTTGAGAATTTTAGGGATTGTAAAAAAAAAATTACTTATACAAGTAAAGAGAAAAATTAAGGGGAGATTATTCAAACCTTATAAGAAAATATGAATATAACAAATTTACTTATATAAGTATATTATTATTTACTTCTTCAGATAAATAAAAAAAAAAAGTACCCCTGACTATCTTATGTGAGATATAAAAGATGGTGTTATCACTTCAATGTCATAGATTTCATGAACATATTACTGTTTGCCAGTTATAAAATAGATTCTTATTAGCTAACTCATAATTTGTTACCTATGGCCCTTCTTATTGAGAAGTTTAACAGGTGTCATTGATGTTTCACTGTTTACTAAGAGGTATTCTGTCATCGTAGATCCCGTGTTCATCATTGGACGGACATCCACACCTTGATCCATTTGTTCCACAATGACCGTGTTGGTCGTAACATCAGCCTGTGTTGAGGTGGCCAATATTCCACAGTCCTTGGTTTGTAGTGGGTGTCGTGGTGAACATAAAACAGACTTTGTATCTGGTACTGCCTGAAAACAGAACTAGGCTCCATACAAAATGCAAAAATGTATATAAAAATTTATATTCAATTATAAAGGTTAGAAAAAGTATCACTTTTCACATTAGGGTGTTATTTTACATATTTGAAAACCAAGTTTATGATATTTTTTAGTTAAATGCTTAAAAGGCAAATAAATGGGTTCTTTTGGCAATTTTTTCCACTTCTTTTTCTCTTTATTTTTGTTGGAGAGAGTGCTGTTTCATTGTTTTTTGGTTTTTATTTACATAAATATATTTACTCCTTAAAAAGATAAAAATGATGATTAAGATAAAAGGAGGCATATCCTAATTTTTCATACATTATTTTATGAACAACTTCTATTTTACAGACAATTAATACCTGTAATGCCATGTCATGTTTTACAGGTGTAGCATTTGTCATAGTTGATGCAGATTTAAAAACAGAACAACTGTCGTCATTAGACTGAGCTGTAAACCCCTTTATGGGAGAACATGCTGTAGATGTCATGTCACATGATATAGGAGAACATGCTGCTGTTACAGTGTCAATCAAATGCTGGACTGATATGTCACACATCTCAGGTAGTTTGACTGGTGTGACAGGCTCTGTCATTGTTTCCTGCTCCACACTACAGGTGTGACAGGGTGAACATGCCATGTCATTTGTAATTATCTCCACCATAGAACCAATGTCTTTGGTTTCTGTAACAAGAGGTGAACAGGCTGTCTCCTGAAGAGATGGCAACTCAGTTGAAGTTTCGATACTTGTTTTAGATACAGGTGTCATTGGAGAAGTACCACACTCATTGACATCATTTCTGTCATCAACACTACACATGTGACATGTGAACCCAGCATATGTGTGGTCACTTCCATTCCCAACTATAACACTTCCATTCTGATCTGTAACAGAATTTTCCAAGGGAGATAACTCATTGGTACTTAAGTCCTTGACAACTTCAGATAATACACCCAAACTGTCAATGTGGGCATCGTCATAAATTTCTTCATGACCAATAAAAATATCACTGTCAACAATAATCTGATGTTTGTTTTCAGCATATAAATCACTGTCAATCTTTGATTTAATTAAACTTTTTGACTGTAGTTTCTCAAATTCATCTTTCACCAATTGACACACTGGTTGTGATGTGTTAATAGATATCTGGATTCTGCTGGAAGTCTCCTGATCAATATCTGATTTGAGACCTTTGGTAACTTCACAATCATCAGACTGTAGATCTCTAACATTGTCAGTAATTTCAGAACTGTAAGACACTGTTTTATTACACACTGGTGTTGCTGGTACCACATTAACAACAGGCGGACAAATTAACTGCAAGTAAATATGAAAAAGTTATAAAAAATAGTATCTCATGTTTTTAAAGGTTCAATTTGTTAATAATTAAGTGCAAAACAAGTTTGTCAAATAAACATGCTTACATTCAGTTCGTGACATTATATGTTTTTAAACTATCTACATTGGCTTTTTTATAGAAACATAAGTTTCCTTTCAATTTTACGTAGATATAAGTCATGACAATCTTTAATATGTTTTTTTAAAGATGGATATGAACTTTTAAAAAATTGCTAATCTTTTGCTTCTAAAGGAAACAATAACATGGCAAGGGTAAATCTTAATATTTTGCACCTTACGCAATACTACAAGCTCACATTATACATTTCCTTGAATAGTCCTTGATGTACCAGTCCTACATATCAATGCCCTATATGACTTACATGCTGAGCATTGTTGATAACTTTTGACACTTCCTTAAAAGCTAATTTCTTTATTTCTTCCTCAGGCTGATTCTCTTTGTCTTGGTACACAAGAATTGACCGTCTAATTCTACAAAAATAAGAAATGAAGCATCTTTTATAATAATATCATTATAAACCTGAAATGTAATATTTCAAAATGCATATTTTTATTTTAATGTTACATTGCAAATGAATATATATCAAGAGTGAAATTAGATGTATATGAAAAAGTGGTAAAAGGTTGAAGTATAAACTGCTTGAAACAACCCTGTCAATCGCAGAAAGTTAAAGTAAAACAGATGTAGTCATAATGAGAATGAACCTTTTAAGGACGTAAGTCATGTACATTTTATTTTGATTTAAAACAACATTTGCTGTTTTCTCAAAAATATTCTTATAATGTTGCTCAGTCTTTAGTTTTCTATGTTGTGTTTTGTGTACTGTTGTTTGTCTTTTCGTCATTTTTTATATTATTGTATAGTTTCTAAAAAAAATCACTGAACCATGAAAATGAGGTCAAGGAGAATTGACATTTATGACAGATGGAAGGTCTCATACCTTCTGAAATATAAAGCTTTATACAAATATTTTAAACTGTCATTGTGTCTGATTAGCATCCTTATGCCTTGCATTCTTTTTGAAAATTGACACATTTGGTACACTGTTAACATTGCATTTAAAAAACACACTTGGAAGATTTTCTAGTGGGTGTCCTCAACGAAGGCTCTGCAGCTATCACATGATTAAGAACTGTCTTCTTTAAACTTCTGTTAATGACATCCTGATTTTTAACATCATGAAGAGGTGTCCTCAGTGGAGTCCTCGTTATTTTCTGTACTTCCATTACAGTCTAAGAGAGAAAAGGTATAATTATATTCAACATTGAACAAAATATTGATTGGCTTTTGGCAATGAGAAGTCGTATTTGGCACAGGCTATGCAAAAATGTTGCTCACATAAATCACTTTTCATGCCAAATTCTATGTTTAATAATGTGTACTGTATTTGACGCATTTCTGTTCAATGAAGTAAAACCATGATTTTTAATCCATTAAGTACATGTATATTCCATAGGGCCAAAATTAAAATTAAGTTTGTTTCCCCTCACCCCTGCCGTGTCTTAAAAAAGCTATTGAGTCAAAATATTTTAGCAAAGTTTAAAAAAAAAGAAAAAATTTTAATTTCCGGCAATAAATCGGAGATTGTCCGACATAGATCCTTATGAAAAGTATTTCTCGGAAGTCCTCGGTTGTTTTCCTTCAATCCATTTTAAGATGGATTGCAATATTACCTTATCGTCTGTTATAATACGATATTCAGACACCAGTAAAATAAAAAAAATAGTGAACAACAAATTATATTCTTTTCCCAAAAGGGATACTTGGAAAGATGTGCTTGAGGACATAACCAGCGGAGATTTCAGATTGACATCAACAGAAAAGTTACCAGTATTAAATATTAGGAAAGGCCATTAATGACACATCCACAAAATATATTTTTATTGTGATTGTCAGAATTGTGAAAGAAACTGAGTACAACAATTGTATTCTTCCAGTATATACATGTAGTTTTTATAATGAATTGTTGATATTTAGATAGCCATTCCAATCCGTTTCAATTCTAGAACAATTTGAAGTGGAATACTGAAAAAAAAAATGGGGAATGTGTCTATGGGACACAGATGATGCCCCCACTTGTCTATCATATAACGTTATAAAGGGACATAACTCAAAAACGGTAAAAGTGACGCTACCAAAAATTGTACTTGATTTGAGTTTTGTGGTAATAACAATTGTGTATAAGTTTCATAACATTCGGTTGAGGCAAACTTAAGTTAGATAACGGAAACGAAAATTCAGCAATTTTTCCATTTGTAAAGGGGCATTACTCTAGAACAATAAGAGTGATGCCCTCAAAATACAAACTTGATCTGTATTTTGTAGTAATAACAATTGTGTATAAGTTTCATAACATTTGGTTGAGGCTAACTTAAGTTAGATAACGGAAACGAAAAAATCAGCAATTTTTCCTTTGGTAAAGGGGCATAACTGTAGAACGGTTTAAGTGACACCACCAAAATTCCGACTTGATCTGTATTTTGTGGTATTAAGCATTGTGTATAAGATTCATAGCATTTGGTTGAGGCAAACTTAAGTAAGAGAATGGAAACAAAAAATTCAGCAATTTTTCAATCTGTAAAGGGGCATAACTTTAGAACAATATAAAAGTGACACCCCCAAAATTCAAACTTGATCTGTATTTTGTGGTAATAAGCATTGTGTATAAGTTTCATAATAGTTGGTTGAAGCTAACTTAAGTTAGAGAACAGAAACAAAAAATTCAGAAACTTTTCAATTTGTAAAGGGGCATAACTCTAGAACAGTTAAAGTGACACCACCAAAATTCAAACTTGATCTGTATTTTGTGGTAAGGCCAAAAAAAAATATATGTCTGTTTACGGTTATCCGACCGTCCCTACTTTTGAGCGCCGACCCTAAGTCATTTTATTTCCGTCGTAAAGTGAAAAATAAACTGAACTCGTGTCAAAAGCAAAGTTAGTGTTGCAAATAATATAAATCAATTGCCTAATACATCCTAATGTTCACAATCGTGAATATGACAGCTGTTTTAAGGAAATTCCCAACTCGTGTGATGAAATAAACACTTTGCTGCCATTTTTTTCCAAGGGAAATAATCCAATCATTAAAAATAGGGGTAAACTCGGCCCATGATCAACTCGGACCACGACAAAATGAAACGGCATGAATCAAAATCATGTCACAAAAAATAAAATAAAATGGAAATACAGACCTACCTACCCTATTTTTTTAAAGTATGTAACCTTAAACAGACGTATATTTTTTTTGGCCTAATAAGCATTGTGTATAAGTTTCATAACATTTGGTTGAGGCAAACTAAAGTTAGAGAACGATATAAAAAAATTCAGCAATTTTTCAATTTGTAAATAGGCATAACTCAAAAACAATAAAAGTGACACCCCCAAAATTCAAAATTGATCTGTATTTTGTGGTAATAAGCATTATGTTTAAGTTTCATAACATTAGTTTGAAGCTAACTTAAGTTAGAGAACGGAAACAAAAAATTCAGCAATTTTCAATTTGTAAAGGGGCATAACTCTAGAACAGTTAAAGTGACACCACCAAAATTCAAACTTGATAGATCCGTATTTTGTGGTAATAAGCATTCATAATAGTTGGTTGAGGCAAACTAAAGTTGGAGAACAGAAACAAAAAATTCAGCAATTTTTCCATTTGTAAAGGGGCATAACTCAAGAACAATAAAAGTGACACCCCCAAAATTCAAAATTGATCTGTATTTTGTGGTAATAAGCATTGTGTATAATTTTTATAGCATTTGGTTGAGGCAAACTTAAGAGAATGGAAAAGAAAAATTCAGCAATTTTTCAATTTGTAAAGGGGCATAACTCTAGAACGATTAAAGTGACGCCACCAAAATTCAAACTTGATCTCTATTTTGTGATAATAAGCATTGTGTATAAGTTTCATAACATTTGGTTGAGGCAATTTAAAGTTAGAGAACGGACGGACATACGTACAAACGGACAAGGGTAAAACTTAATGCCCATCTGCGACGGCGGGGCCATAAAAATTATACCCTGCCTGCCTGGTCAGCTCTAATAATAAGGGCAGGGGGATGGGAAACAAACATTTTTTTAACTGTGGCCTAATTTCAGGAATAAACAATTACTGTATTTTCATATTAAAAATATGAGGTTTAAACGACAATGTTATATTGATATTGACTTTCCACACAGAATGTAAATGCACAATGCATAAAAATTGGAAATTGCAACAGAATTCTGTTGATTGTAGGTCATTTAAGAGTTTTATTTATGGAACCATTGAAATATGAAAGTATATGTATATGAGTACCTTTTCAAACTGGCAGACATTTTCTTTATTTTGTAATTCCATTATATTCCTGACTTCATGCCATTTGGTCTAGTCCTTGAGTAAAGTGAAAACCTGGAAAAAAACATCATCATCATGAATTAAAATATTTGATAACTTAATATTTTAAAATTCAGCAAAACTATATGTACATGACATACAATTTGAACTGATTTTCCAATAAAGTTTGATATCTAAAATATAGATTCTACCACTACATTAAGTGTGATACAATATTTCTCCACTCGAGACTTTTTAAAACAGGAGCTCGAGACTTGCCGACATTTTAAATGTTATAATATTTATTATATAACCTTCAGGATATTCTGTGGACTGGTGGAATTCATTTTTCTAGAATGTTTGAACTGCATTAAACTTTAGTCTTTAGTCCTTTTGTTTTGATGAAAAGACTCTGTTTTACAGATTTTAGATCACATGGATCTGGTACCATTGAAAAATACAAATGAATGGACACACACAATGTTTCAATATTTCATTCAAAATTTACTTTTGGAGGTATATTAGAAAGTTGGTGCCTTAAAATTATTACATAAATCTTGGGTAATAATCTTTATATGCTAAATAAACAAATTAGTATTAGTTCTTTTTCATAAATGAGTTAAGCCAGTTGACCTGAGGTCAATTGGCATAAATTTGATAAAATGACTTCATTGAACAATCCACTCTGATGTAATAACATTTATATAGCATTAATACTAACAACTGAAATGTACAGTAAAATGAATGAATTTGAATGTCATCTACATGTATAAGTAGTACATCTACGATGATTGGAAAATGCCTTATGAGACTGACCTATGGTTACAGGTGGTTAAGAACAGACCAGCAGGTAATCTCTTTTGGGATTCTGAGTCAGATTAATTTACTGATAAGTGCAAAATCAGAAAATCACTCTAGACACTGAATCACGAAAAGGATTAATCTGCATGAAGATAGAATGTGAATTCACTCAGTTAAGTTGTCACAATCCGGAATAAGAACTTATACATGAGATTTTTTAACACGGGATCAGTACATATTGATTTAAAACTTTTATTGTCAATAGAAAAAAACCACAACTCCTCCGTCTCTAGAGAAACACTAATGCGATTGTTGGGTGATTTTTTTTTACTATAAATGTTAATTTATATTTTTTCCTTTTTTGTTTCTAAATATTTTAATACAGTTGCCACCTATAAGTATAATCAAAGTACAAGTGAGTTGTTTACCAGAGAGAAAATTGTACATGCGAGACTTTAATATTGACAAGAGAAACAATCTAGCTAGTGTCAATTGCAACACCTACAAAATATAGAATAGGGACACAATGGGTAAAATTACAGATCAGACGACTATACTGGTATCTAAAGATCTAAGACTGCTAAAACCTTATTGCTATTTGTCTGCCATTACTGGACATCACAAAAGTTCCCGTAAAATTTTGATGTCACAAGAGAAAATGTCCGATGCCACAAAGGAAAAATGATTGTTGTATGACGTCAATAGTTCAAGTGGAACAAATTCTCAGGTCAAGTGGCGCATATCCCCAAATAGGGATAAGTCTATTAAATCGGTCAGCAATCTATGAGTATGAGCTGATAGACAAAAAACTTTCAGCCAATCAGAATGCTAAAATGCCTTGTAGGATTATCTTGGTATGAGCACAAACATGTTAAATAAAGAATAATTTTCTGAAATAAATTATAAGTAAACAATTGTAACATAGACTAGAAAAAAGGGGGTTCATGTCCGTTCCTACGTAAGTTACGTCGAATTTTCCGATTTTTCCCCCAATCCTTATTTTTTGTCAACTACATGTATCTATCTGACAAGGAGGGTTATATCACTCTCCATTATCATAATGAATTCATTTCATTAAATTATTTTGTGGTGGGTTTCTTATTTTACCACAGCATGTTTTAAATATTGACCTGTTTATCTGTTTATGTTTTCGTGTGAAGGTTTCCGTTTGTTTAAAATTTGGTGCGGAATTTTGATTGGTTGACCGAAAAATCTCGTAGTTTTGTTGAAATTAAACTTTTCTTCCAAAGTCATCCATATTAGTTTTAAATCATATTTCATTGCAAAAAGCTTAATAAATGTTAATTATAAATGAAAATGTATCTGGATAAAATAATGAAATGTAAAACGGATGTTTACATCACGTGACATACCCCGCTAAAAGGTAAACATGGATTCTCCACTTTTGGGGAGATCTTTAAGGAAAACGGTCACTTCATTCACTGACGTGTTGTTTCCCATATCAAAAGATGCACAGGATCCACAACAATACCAGCTGAAAAAGACAGGTGAATAAGCTCAGTGTTAATCCTGTTATTTTACGAAGATTTACTTATTTGCAGTTGTTTCTTGTGAAAATCATGTTGAAACACAACACTCAGATTTATTTCAGCAGCAGTTACCTTAAAGTTAAATACTGTTTCTAGTTACTCCTTTCCATTTTCAGCCTATATTCTTGTAGACTATTCCTGATCATTTAATAGACAATAACAATTTATTCTATTTAAACCATTACGATACAGCTCTAAAATATATATATATCCTAACTTCAAGACGGTAATTTTTTTCGTCAGGTAGGGCTGTTCATTGCATAAACTTAATGTTCAATGAACTGACTTATAGGACTTACCATATTACCAGCCAGTATCTTACACCTTATTGCTAATTGTCCATTGTAAACAAACATCACATTATCCAAAATAATTCAGTTGTTTAACAGTTATATACTTCCACTTCTCTATGAAGGCTTCATTAACGTTTAAAGACATACAATGTAGTCAATCAAAAATGGACAATTTTGCATTTGGAATTAGCTCAGCATTTACTACTCGATAACTTTAGTCTACACGTACCAACTGATTTGCTCTCTCATCCAGAGAAAGAGTCAATCAAAATCCTGGATTCTTGACACATTTTTATCTATAAAGACTTCAGGCCCCTGTGAGGGGAATCCAGGTCCGTTCGCGCCCAATCACGTTCGCCCCCATGCACATTCGCCCCCTTTTCACTTTCGCACCCAAAGTCCGTTCGCACCCTACACGTTCGCGCCCAATTTTTATTGGTGTTGTGTTTAATAATTTGTAAACGAGTTTTGGTAAGTGTATTGCTATAAATATATATTTTTTCATTGTTTCTAAATAAAGTGAGATTCAGACAAGGTTTTTTTTGTGTCATGGTAAATGTATTGCCATAAACATTTTTTTTTTCATTGTTTTTAAATAAAGTGAGATTCTGACGACCAGTATTTTATTTTATGTGTTGAATAATTTTTAATCATGTTTAGGTAAGTGTATTGCTCTATATATATATATTCGACCTGTTAGTCAAATGCGTTTTGTTAAAATATACTTTTTCACTTTTTTGGTCTTTTGGAAAATGTTGTTTGTGCAGTATTTAGACCCCTCTAACAAGAAATTTGTTTTGCATGCACACGTATAAAAATTGCGGTTTTTATCCAACGCAATCATATATATAATTTTTTTTTTTTCCTTGTTTCTAAATAAAATGAGTTTCTGACAACGTCTTTTTAGGTGTTGATAAAATCTTAATCATGTTTTGGTTAGTGTATTGCTATAAATATTTCTTTTTTATTGTTTCAAAAGGAAATGGGATTCTGACAACGTCTTTTTTTATGTGTTGAATAATTCGTAATCATGTTTTGGATAGTGTATTGCTATAAATATTTTTTTTCATTGTTTATGAATAAAGTGAGATTCTGACACACATGAGATCAAAGGAGCCAAGCTGTTAAAAACAATTATCTTTCATGTTTTTCATTTAAAATCTTCAAAGTTTTACTCATACCAAGCTAAATACATGCAGTATTTACATTTAAAGCAAGTTAAAGCAACCATGACAACAATCATGATTTTTAAACACTCAACAATAACACCATATTAGGCTCTGTATAAATACCAATTAGCAGTAATCATACATAATTAACATTTAATAATTAATCATCAAATCAATTTAAAACAATATTTCATTTAAAAATTCCCGAATTTTTATTTATGAAAATAAAAATATTTTGATATAAACATCTACAAAACATCTAAAAATTTATCAGTTTTTTGAATAAAAAAAAGGGTGCGAACGGACCTAGGGGCGAACGTGTGGGGTGCGAACGTGTATTGGGCGCGAACGGACCCGATACCCTGTGAGGGAGAAGGTAAATCAAGTAGAGGACTGAATTTTTTGGGTTAACATCATAGATATTTCAGTAAAATTAAAGTCACAAGATATATGTCTCATGCCACAAACAAGAATTGTTTGAAGAAATAATAGTTCAAGCAATGCAAAATTTGTGATCAAAGTGTCACAGATGTAAGCTCAATTGTGGTTTGCATGGATACTGCAAAATACCGGAATTTTTCAAAGTTTTTTTTACATGTATGATGTATAGTATAATCAAAGTATATGTTTCCAGTGAAAAAAAATTACCGAAAATAACTTAATGAGGAGATATAGTACTAAGACCTAGGTTCTGAATTACAAAAAAAATTATTCAAGATTTCAAAATGTTCAGCTTTGCATATCTAATTACCATTTCATTCCTTTTTGGTCATATAGCTCTTCAACTGGTTCTCTTTCCTATACCTCCTTGGCTTTCAAATATTGGGCTTTGAGCGTTCCTGGTGAAGGTACACAATGTAAATCAAGAAAAGCGCTTCGGACGCATGAAATTTATATAGTGTTCACTGTTGTTCAGAATAATTTGACAGTTATCTAACTTTTATTCAAAATCATAAGAGTAAATATGATTGAGGTTGGAAACCAATAAACTTAACATGGTACATGTTAACTGGACAATGATATTAAAATTTAATCTTTATTTCCATTCAGTCTAAACATCTATATATGAAACAAGAAAAGAACAGTATCAATTTTCCTTTTTACACACACACAACTAAAATTAAAATATACATGAAATGATACATTTTATAAGAGTTATTCTATAAAATAAATCATAATTTATAGAGTTGTGGCACATGTTATTGTATTTGAATATGCATGATGATGAAATAGCAGCCATTTGACATAAAGCAAGTTACATATAGAAACAATACAAAAAAGGATTTTATGAATGTGAGGATGCAGTACTGAGTAGTCAAAACGGCAATGATGTAAACAAATATAAATAAGAAGATGTGGTATGAGTGCCAATGAGACAACTATCCATCCAAGTCCCTATGTGCAAAAAGTAAACAATTATAGGTCAAAGTACAGCCTTCAACACAGAGCCTTGGCTCACACCGAACAGCAAGCTATAAAGGGTCCCAAAAAGACTAATGTAAAACAATTCAAACAGGAAAACCAATGGTCTAATCTATATAAAAAACGAGAAACACTTATGCACCAAACCAACAAACGACAACCACTGAACAACAGGCTCCTGACTTGGGACAGGTGCATAAAATGTGAATAAATCAGCACATAGTTTAAATAAAATCAACATGTATATATACATGATATAATTTCCAAGTGAAACAACATTCAGTCATTATGATATTATTATATTCTTGATGTTCTCTATCAATTTATGTATTATGGACATACTCATAATCAGTAAATAAAGTACTTGTAATTTAATTGTTTTATTTTCAGGAAATGAATATGTTACAAACCTGCCCCTACAGATGGCCTTATTCTTCAACATTTTCTTTGCTCCATTCTGGTTAACAGCAACACTTGTTACATTTGAAGTGAAAGTAAGTATTTGTAATTTTGGTATTCTACTTGCACATAACTTTTTTTCTGAATAAAAGAAGATGTGAGGTATGTATGAATGTTTTTGTTTTTTATTTTCTTCTTGTTTGTCTACCTATATTATTCATGGCATAGTTCTTGGAAGTACAGCAGCCGATATTAGTGTGTATGAAGGCATGATTTTAATATTAGCAGATGAAGAATTTTGAACAAATTATATGGTATAATTCAGTATTGTTTTATTTGTACTGATTATGTTGCTTGTAATACTGATATTATAAAGTTAAGTGTTTTTTTCTAACAGAATTTCATTGGATGTTCTTAATTGTACATTTAAAAATAAGTAGATGTGGTATAATTGCCAATGAGACAACTATCCCCCAAAGTTCAAATGAAGTGTATGTAAACAATTATAGGCAACCATATGGCCTTCAACAATGAGAAAAACCCATACTGTATAGTCAGCTATAAAAGGTCAAAACATGAAAAATATGAAACAATTCAATTTAGAAAACTAACACCCTAATTTATAGCAAAACAGTTTACAAAAAAACAAATATGATAGACATGAACCAATGACAATCACTGAACTACAGGCTCCTGACTTGGGACAGGCACATACAGAATGTGGCAGGGTTAAACATGTTTGTGATCGCTCAACCCTTCCTTAACCTGGAACAGTGGTGTAACAGCACCTTTTTTTTTTTATCAAGAATAACTAATTAGAAGAATTTTGAAATACAGTAACGAGTGTAATAAACTTGTTCAAAGATCAATATGCATTATTATGTGATAAAGCAAATAGTATTCACCAATGAAGAATACCAGATTTTTCATAAGGAAACACTTCATTGGGACATTATTCTTTTTGCTATATTTTTCTTGGGATCTAGATAGAAGAACTATTGAATTTATTATAATGTATAATCCTTATTTTATTGAAAATGAACTTGGTGACATATACCGTTTAAAAAAATCTTGGATTGTATATTTTGTTGTGATATATTTGTAACCAACCAATGATTGGTATATATATTTTATTTCAGTTTTCTTACTTGTCCACATTATATCTGATTTTACTGATAGCCATATATGTAGTGTTTACCATAATGGAGGTCATCAGATTGTATGTTGGATTTGTTGGCAACTTAGCTGAAAGGGTAAGATTTATGTAGCCAGTATAAAACTGCATTACAATAATTTCATAATGAAAAAAAAAAAAGATTAAAATAATGTTGCCATCCCTGCATTTTAAGAGAAGTCTAGTGACCATTTTCACAATTTTTTTTTCTAAAAGTGGAGAATCATAGTTGTAAGGTACAGGGGTCGTCACTTAGGTATGGTCCAGGGCTTTCAAAATTATTTTTAGCCAGCCAGACATTTTATATATTATCCCGATTTTAATCCCTAAAGACAAAATAAACAAAAGGCAATTATGGTAATCAGTTGCCGAGTTGGCCATCCCAATGATTGACATTAAAAAAAACGATATTAAACTTTCTTTGATTGAAATTTGAAGTTCTGACGTAAACTGTTAAATTGGCAGTGCATCATTCGAAGTGTGCAACATCAGCGTACTTATATCTGCCTTAGACTCTTTATTTGTGCAAAATAACGTTGTCAAAAACTTTACTTTCGTTTTTTGAAGTAATACCGGATGTTATCTTGACAGTGGTAAAACATGGACCAGAGACGTATAAGTAAATTCCGTATACGTTTGCAAAGTATGAACTCTTTCTACGTTTTTTCTTCAAGAATATATTCGAAATAAACGTGAGATAAAGGTATCAATGACAAGTTAAGCATTTTTTGAAGAAATTAGGATGCATAATTAAATGTCACACCTGCGCACATGGGCACACGTGTACTAGTTCAAACAGAGACATGTCTCTGGTTCAAACAACGTGGTTATGACGATTTTTCATTTTCACCTTTTTAATTTTTTCATCAAATCATATTTGTAAACGTATTTCTGATAATTTCAATCTTTTTGACTAAATAATTTAGATGCAAACCGCTGAAATGTAAGAAAATAACTTTGAATAGACCGATCAATGTCCGGTTCAAAATAGTTTACCTGTCACCTGAACAGGTAAATTTCAGCTGTTCGACAACTAATTAGCCTTGATTAAAATGAGAAGGTATTAAAGTAGGTGTTGTTTTGATAGTACTTAATGATCATGTCACTTTTATGACCGGAAATGTGTGGCTGTTAAAGGCAAAATGTTGGGTCAAAAAGATCGTAAATTATGTTAAAATGACCGTCTCTTAAGAAAGCCTTGAAAACTAAAAAGTAGATGACCATTTCATGCTTTTCCCAGCCGGACTTTTACCGGACATTATACAAATGTCCGGCATATATGACCGTTTTGGAAGCCCTGGTATGGTCTGATGAAGTTGTAAGATATTTTTTAAGAGAGAGAGATATTTGTAATTACTCCATTAATCATCTTTTTTTGTATTTGTTTGTCTTTATAAGATTTCTTCTGTTATTGTTGTTGTACTTGATTAAAATATGTGAAATAAATATCAATGAGACAGCCATCCACCATAGCCAAACAACATATGATAAGCCACATTATCTTGAAAATACAGTACTTAGAAGGTGATTCAGTAGATAATTAGTCTTGAAGGGTATTATATCCCCTTTCACAGTTAGTTGGTGAACATAATACAGGAAGATTTTTTTTTTACATAATAACATTGTATGTTCAGTGTACTGTAAGAACCTAGACAAAATCTCTCTTGATAGATTGTTAGTTTGATGTCTGCAAAGATCAAATTTCTATCACACCTCATACCACTTTCGTTGCTTTGGGAGGCATTAGTGAAAATTTTTCACCCATTTGTCATAAACTTTTCAGAAACCTATAATATGTTACATTTGTAAATGAATTAAATATGTTGGATGACAATAAATGTGTCAACAACCCAAAGCCTTTCTTGTTATGAAATTTTTCTGACTGGATGCCATATAAGAGAAAAACCTTCATTAACCATGTTAACTGAAACCGGAACAATAAAAATTGTAACTGTTGTCCATTGAAATAACTAGAAATTGTGATCAAAATAAAAAAGCTTGTTATAGTAAAAACCTTTTTATATTAACAACATAATTTGCTGTTTACAGGTACCAGAGCTGGCTGGTTCCTGGTTGTTGACAGTACTGATTCAGTTACCACTGATATTACTTCTACTTTTCAACACTCAGCCTTTACTTTTACCATTTGAGCGTGCTGTACATATTGTAGAAGCCATGTTTGTTGTGTTTGAATCAATATGTGGCTATTTTGCTATCAGGACTATGGTTAATTATCAAGTCACAAAATTCCATTTAAAACAATTTACAGACTTAGAAAATATAGCAGATGATGAATACTGGCAGGATAGATATGATTACTCATAGCAGCATTGAATGTGAGAAAATAATCAAAGGAAATATAACACCGCTTTATAATTGGTCTGAAGGTCTATATTGTTATGAAAAAATCAATTAGCAAAGTGCATAAAAATAATGTTGGCTGATCTTTGTATGATTTAGAAAATAGAATAATTCATCACTGAGATTATGAATAATTAATTAAGAATAATTTTTGATTGATAAACACCTGGTAATAGTTAAATATGTTGACATCATAAACTGTGAAATTATTTTGATGCATGAAGGGTTTTCATTAAGAACAGACAGTCAGACACAATGTTAATTACTTTTCTGGATAAAGCTTAAATCTGACATGGAAAAAATATTAAGATTTAAAAAAAAATGATTTTTTTTCTAACTCTCTTGAATGAAAAAAAGTAAAATAGAAAGTTTAACTGATGAATTTATGTAAAATTCAATATTTTTATTTTTCTATTTAAATGTTAATAATACTTTTATAAATGTCACATATTTTTTCAATCTTTGGCATGCCCTACTTTCATCATTAATCATGTGTGATCAAGGTTATTCCAGGAATATGTATTTTTGGAATTAAATAGTGTATTAGTTTTGTCTTTACTGCATCCGTCCAGAATATTTTTTGTACAGTTTTAAGGTGAACATTGAATATCAAAGAATAACTTTATTGTTTTATTTTGTATCATATGATTTATTCTGTACTTACTTTGTCACTCTTTCCAAAGTGCTATTTTAGCAAAGGGCTCTTTGTAAAGAATTTACAGCAAGGACATAGCGTGAAATAGTGCATTTGATAAAATTCCACAATTATTTAAAGTTTATGGCTATACCCATTATTTATTTTCTTATAAATGTATAGGAGTATGATTAATGATAGTTTTATTGTTATTTACTTTTGTTTAAACATATAATTAAAGTATAAAGATTAAAAATAGAGTTTGATTTATTTCCCCCTTTTTGTCTGTAATTTGTAGATATGGCCAAGCATATTTGCCTTATTGCACATATATACCATTTTCATGATCTAGTAAAGAATGCACACCAAACTAGTACCAGGGGTTGTTTTGAACTGATGCATGAGCTTTTTCTTTATGTTGAAGGCCTCATTGTGACCTTTAGATCAAAAACAGCAATAAAAGTTCTTTTCCTTTGCTTTCCATTTTGTCAAGTGCATGTGGGACTTTGTCATAATAACATATTTGAATAATTTAATTTTAAATGTAACAGGTCTTCTGATTGGCTGAAAGTTTTTTGTCTATCAGCTCATAGACATAATTTTGTCATGTGACCGTGACGTCATAAACGTTTTTTCATGATTTACTCCTTTAAAATGGAATTTAGAATTAAATTGTAAGGACAGACTGTAATGTTTTTTTGTCTATTCGAAATAACCTCAAAAGTGTGGTACACACTTTTAAATAACATGCTACACGGGTTATTCAGTGTGCACCACATTTTTGATGTTATTTCTTCATAGACAGAACAAATATTACAGTCATTCCTTAAATGATAATACTCCTGTAATGTACAGCACTCATGCAACTGATGTGACTTGTTTTTAAATAGTGGTAATGACTAGAAATGTATAAATTGAGAGCCAATAAATCAATAGAAATCAAATAGGAAAGGTCATAGTATTGGTATAGCTATGTTGATTTGTGACTAGTATGCACACCATCAGGGTCTTGGGTCATTTACAGTGATCACTGTTTATTGCTGTTGATATCTTGGAAATTAGTTATTTCAGAACTGAAATCCCCATGTTTGTTGTAGACCTACCTGTGAAGGTGTAATACCAGTAACCTGTTGTGTTGTTGATGTCATTATTAGTAAATCAGTTTTTAACTGAACAGCTCTCAAAAGACTGAACACTAGATTATTAAGTAATTTCCAGTCTTTCTGCCAATTTTAGAACTTATCCATTGCTGAAAGTTCAGTATTGTTTAGACAACTTGCTTGCAGTCAATTAAGATCCGTTCAGTCTACGTTCAGACTATTAAGTAGTTGCTACTTACCTGTACACATCAACATATAGCCTTTTTGTGCTGAGGTGGCGTAAAGCAAACATCAATCAATCCTGTACACATCAACACTATACTGAATTGTCTGAAAAGCTACTGAACAGAACTGAATTGACCACAAGACAAATTGTCTGAACAGTACTGAATTGGCCACAGTGGATAAATCTGAAAATTAACTTTAAGACTGATCATTCCTAAATAATTTAATGTTAAGACTTTTCAGTTGATGTTAAGATCAAAATGATTGTTTAAGACTCAAATTCATTCACTTATACATGTAAAAATATATGATAAGTCGCATTTGGTGACAATCATAAAGATGTAAAGAGGATAGTAATGTTGCTACGACTAATGGATATAAAAATAAGAAGATGTGGTAGGATTTCCAATGAGACAACTCTCCACAAGAGACCAAACCACACGGAAATTAACAACTATAGGTCACCGTACGGCCTTCAACAATGAGTAAAACCCATACTGAAACATACTCCTGGCTATCTTAATAATAGTCTACTAAATCATGGGGTCGGTATGTCACGAAATAGAAGTTCTTTTATAATATAAGTTCCAAGTGGAAGTAATATTCTGGAATATTATTTCCACCTGAATAAATATTACTTCTGTTAGGTGGAACAAATATACGTTGACAAGTAAAATGTCAAAATATGACTTCAAATTTACCATTTAAAACCCTTGGTGCAATAGCTTCTTGATAAGGACAACAACTCTCTTTCAAATAAAGTCCAGCCATGGGATATTTACTGTGCGATATATACTCTTTATACAGATGCTGCTACAAAAAATGGAAAGTTCCAAATGGGAAAAGACATAAGGCAAATATCGTTTCACTTTTTTATTTATTTTTTTCATTTACTGGCATATCCCAACTCTTATCTGCATTGAGGAAGTACTAACACCTATCTATACGCCCATATTTTTTACTTTCGCCTTGGTACTCGTGGGAATACGTATGAATCGAACCAATAGTGTTTGTTTTGATTTTAGCGCCCAAGAACACGTTCAATCCCACCACATTCTCCTGCCGTCAAATAAAATTGTTTTTGTATATATCATTAGCTTAAATTAAGCCATTGGGTTTTCTCTGTTCAATTGATTAACCCTTTGATAGTACATGACCTTTCAAAACTTACCTTACGGTATGGGTTTCGCTTATTTTTGAAGGCTGTGCTGTGACATGGTAGTTGCTGACATAGCTGACCCTTTGTCTTTGGTAAATTGTTTTTTTCATTGGTCTTCATACTCCATTTCCTTATGTTTATATTAAATCTGTTTGTTTAAGGTAGCACAATACAAAAGCAACTAAATTTTATCAAAATTTCATTTCAGCTGTTTTTGTTACTTCTTAGTATTCAAAAACCACAGAAGAAAAAAATATTTACATATCTTGCACTGTTAATGAGTTTTGGTGATAATTAGTTTTATAAACAAATGCACGTGTCTGACTGATACAATACAAGAACATGTGGGCAGTACTATGTGGTTAATCAATAGAATCATTTGGTAGCTTAACGACCACTGACCAGCAATAAAAATAACAGTTATGAAAAAGAGGTGGATTAGGGATTTATGGAAAAATGAAGATAATGAATTCCTAATAAAAATACATTTCTGTATTGGAGCTGCTAGGAGAAAAAACAAAACAACTATTTGGAGCTATAGAGGGAATCAAAATATGAATGACTTATTTGTATAAATATTAAACAAATATAATTGTACAACAATTAATGTTGCTGATGTTTATACTAAAATTTCTTGAGGAGAATGTTTAAATATGAATTCTTTTTAATAGAAAATACAAATTAAAGATTTCATTTTCAAACTGCAAAAAATGAAAAAAATGAAAAAAATCTACTTTGTGTAAAACACAATATTGTCATTGTATACAATTATAATTCTAGAAATCCCCCATAAGGATCCTCTAGACTGACCAACTGATCATTTTGTGTACACATGCATAACTTAATTTTTGTAACAATTCAAAAAACAAAAAATCCATATTGAAAAAAGTAAATGCAATGTGTAATTAAACTTCTGAGATCATTAATAGTAAAGGTTTATCTTGATGGGCGGAGTTTTGACCATATCAGTAGCAACTGACTTACAGCAAGGTCAATAATGATATAACATCTCCCGCCAGATCTGATTTTTGATGCATAGGGTGTGCATTTTCTTTAATATATTTAGAATTGCTGAATTGGAATGCTTTCTTACTGGTCAAAACCTAATTGATTTAAGATTAAATGCCAATCATGAAGAATCCCCATGATGCATGTGTGAATTATATTGAAGTTAATGGGGGTACAAGTAGGAAAATCCTTATTTATTCAGTTGTGACACATTCATTTTTGTCATGAAAATGTAGTTTTAAATGAAATTAGCTCCTAGATCGGTGCCCCTATATGCCTGATTTTCACACATGTTGTTCCTTGACCAGTTATCTTTAAAAGGGTGTCTCAGATTTCCAAAAAAACATCAATAGAACAAATTTTATACCCAATTTAATTTAATGATCTCTTATGAATTGAGGTTGCAAACTTCATTGAAGGTTTATGAGAGAATGAAATACAATAGGAAAAATCTGAGACACCCTTTTGGAGGTCAAACTGTGTTGCACAAGAATCTATAAAATATTTTGAGATGGTATGAATAACAAAGAAGATAATTTCATTCAAGTGTGGACATCACAATATAGCAACTAATTACATAATAATTAATTATGTAATAATCATGTCATAATGAAATAATCACCATTTGAAAGATTAATCTTTTTTCTTTCTTTTGGTACCTCATTTATAAAATTTAGAGCTGGATGAAAGAAATTACATCAGTTTAATGTTGTCTGTTTGGGGGTGAACAAATCTTTGTATTGTGCTACCTTAAATGGAGACGCTATCAGAAGATTTTTTTTACACCATGTAATTGTTGTATAGAAACTAAATTTGGTTCTGATAAAAGAAAATAGTTTCTTCTTATCTTTATTAATAATTGTGTAATCACAAATTATAAGCCTGGTATCTTGGATGAGTTTTTTTTAATACAAAGAGGAATTGAAATATTGATCCGGTTTGCATTATTTATTAAATTTATGTTAACTTAATCTGTTTGCGTAAGAGAAAGATACTATACATTGCCTGTTTTAGGGTCACAAATTGCGGTATACGACCTAAATCTTAGTTTCAACAATATACAATAGTTTGTTCTTGACGTTATACCTTTCTGATACTTTGTTACAAAATGGGTTGAAAACATTGTAATAAAGCTTGTTTGTCATTAATTTAAACTCAACCCATTTACATCAGAGAACATACTATCGAATAAAATTGAGAATGCATTTTTTGAAGTCAGCAATTGTAACATGGAATAAGTTTGTCTGATTTAAACAATACACACCAGATTATTCTTGACTTTATAACAAATAAGTAAGGCAACTGTTACAGTGTTTTACCGATGTTCAAATCTCGTTAATCGTTTTAATAATAAGAGACAAATCAATGTTAACAAACAAAAACTGCGGAAATCAAATAAACTCCCAAAGTATAGAGACCGGTTGCCTCGACAGGGTAATCGTTTGCTGCTATGCATCACACGTATTGCAAATCCACGTTCAGTTAAAATGTCACAATCGTGAATAGAACACAAAGTGCGTTATTGCATTCTACAACTTCGAATTTTTTGTTTTCATTGCCTTTCAACTTCTTATTTGAATGGATACGCCAACGTTTGGATTCAAGTGCCACTGATGATTCTTTTGTAGACGAAATGCACGTCTGGGGTTACAATTTAAAGCCTGTTATCTTTGATGAGTTTTACAACCATTGGCTCGATGTAACTGGCTGGTGGATGTTTCGTCCCCGAGAACATCACCGCCCAGTAGTCAGCATTTCTATGTTGACATTGAATATCAATGATATGTTCATTTTCTGCAAATTAAATGTTCAAAACTCCGAAACACTAAGGTTTTTCTTCCCCAAAGATTTGTTTGATTAAGGGAAAGATACTATACAATACCTTTTGAATCCGCAAGTGTGATTCGAAACTTAATTTTACAAAATTGAAAAAAGCTTCTTTCTAATTTATTACAAATGATGTTATTATATTTCTGGAACTTTGTAACGGGACCGATAGGAAGCATTTCATAAGTTTGTGTTACACACTTATTCAGTTTGTCAGATTTTGTGACAATACCACAAAAATAGTGATAGGAATTAAATTCTTGGATTATCAATACATAGATAATTCATGTAGTTATTCCATAAAATTGTTTTAAGTATGTGTTACATTCAGTAGAATTGACAAAGAACATAAGCACACAAAGTTCTTTTGAGATCCGGTAGGAAAAGCTATTCGTAACACACAACAAAGAGTTTACTTGAATGGTATTACAAAGTCTGTTTTTACAATTTCTTGGTTCGTAATAATTTTCATCACGACTATTTTTTGGTAAAAACCAAAAACAAAATCAAAAACAAATTATTACATTTTCTTTATCATCCTATTCGAATCAAACATCACAAAAGGAAAAAAATTTCTCCGAAACACTTTTTAAAAATTATTGCTTAATCCAACATTACTTCAAATTGGGTAGCTAGAATGCTGGACTTTTTTGATCGACAACGTATTTTGTTGAGTTTTTAGAATTAAGATTCCAGCAGAGAGTCAGTATTTCTATGGGTGCTATCTGTGCGCTTCAACTAGTCGACATGTGTTCTAATACTCATATGAATCAGAATTTGTATACAACATCTTGTTAAAAAACATAAGAAGATGAAGAAAAACTAGCAAAATCCTATATATTGATGGAAAAACTTTCTGGCTAACACCATTATTTCTTTTTTTTTTTCTCACGTCAAAAAAACATCGAAGAAACGAAAAAACGAGTTGCAAGTGATGCTGGTATTTCTCTTTTCAAACAGAGAAAACTTCACAGTAGAAGACTTCCTTTCAAATCAAATTTCACGCCCTTGGAATAAAAGTTACTGTTCTATATCTTCAAGTCGGATCAAAACATTGAAAATGGGTAATCGGTAACCTCCCATTCCAGAAAAATGATTGGAAAACTTTATGTCTTTTTCTGTTCTCGACGGAATAGTCTTAAAGCGTTCCCATGTTAAAAAGAAAATAGTACTCAAACGAACAATCGGGTAGTGGTAACGGCTTATTTCTAAAGTCAGTTTTGAACTGATATGAAAAATTTCCATAGTTATAACAGTTACTAATCTTTCAAAATTTAGTGTTTCTTTTTCAAATACGGTTTAATCAAGTCTGATTGTATAATCCTCCAGAACAAAACAACATTGACGACATCCACAACGATATTAACAGATGTCAGCAGGTAGAAAATAAACGCATAACTTCGGTGTCGATCGGCAAAACAGCCATATAAACAATAACTAAAAGGTATTATACGGAAAACGAAAAACGTAAGAATATTAAGATATGAAAATATCCGATATAAACTTGTATCAAATCCAAAGTTTGCCATTCGTAAGAGTTTTCTCCCATGTAAGAAAATACTGTTGAATTCTGCCAATAGTGTTATTTGACTATATCCAACACATAATTTGACATGTAAAATGTATCCAAATGCTGCTATAACCTACAATGAAAATATTTTTTGTATAATGAATTTGCTTTATTGTAACTAATAGGGTTGCACACCATGTATGAACAAAGGTATACAGAATGGCATATTCACAGCAAGGAAATTTAAATCAAAACAACATTGGAATATATATAACAAAAAGTAAAATAAAAAAAAATACCGAACTCTGAGGAAAATTCAAATCGGAAAGTCCCTTATCAAATGGCAAAATCAAAAGATCAAACACATCAAACGAATGGAAAACAACTGTCATATTCCTGACTTGGTACAGGCATTTTCTTATGTAGAAAATGGTGGATTAAACCTGGCCGGTTTTATAGCTAGCTAAACCTGTCACTTGTATGACAGTCGCATAAAAATCCATTATATTGACAACAATGCGTGAACAATACAAACAGACATAATAGGTAAAAATGTCAAAAATAGGGGTACAGCAGTCGACATTGTGTTATAATCTTAATCACTATAAAAACCAACAAATACGTCAACAAAAAAACCAAAATGGCATATGGACAAAACACATAAGCAAAAATGAAAGACAAGAATATAGAAAATGACCACAGCACAACAACAATTGGCAGGATGCATAAGTACCGAGCCACACCAAAAGGATATTACCAAAAATAGACTAAACAAAGGTTGATAATTTACAAAGACAAATAACAGAACACAATAACATGTAATTAAGATGATAAACAACGTCAGTACCTAGAATCTATACTTCAAGACCATCATGTATTATTTGTGAAGTTGATACGGAATATTTATCAAAAAGGTCTTGGTATCTTCCGATGAACTTTTTTAGAAAAAGGACGAGGCGTTCTTTGACATAACCCTGGTTCATCAACCTTCTGCTCAGACACTGGTGACGTTTTATAAAGTCTGAGTAGCAGCTATAAGCTCTTGAATACCGAATGAGTTAGGAAATGTATTTCCCATATATATAACATTAGGTTAAAAATAAATAATTATAACAAAAAGACGGAATCTTATTTCGTTCTTGGATATATATTTGTGGTGTTTCAATCAAATTTGATAAAACAAAAAACACCAATTTTTATTTAGTTTATAAATGGGAATCAGTGATTCTATATAAGTATTTGTTATATTCATCTTCAAAGAGGTTTTAAAATGAAATGTATTTTTCTAAGTTCAAATGTTTCTGTTAAATTGTTTTCAAAGCATTTGAATGTGGCAATACTTTTTGTAATTTTGTTCGGTAAAAATAGTAGTTTGTAAGAAAATAATCTTATTTTTAGCAATATTAAATTATATATTTTGAAGTTACCAAATGAAATAATTTTGATATTCGAATGCAGTTCAATACTTGTCTTTTCAAACATCTAATTGTTTAGTGCATGCTAGAGACTGGAGACTATATGACAACTCCAAAATAGTTGTTCTATGGTCTTAGGTTTTTCTCTTCAGAATTTTCATTTTATGACGTACCGAATGAGTTCCCAAAATTCTATGAATAATTCTACATTGTAACCAGCAAATTGAAATGAAAATATTGATATTACAGTATACACATACAACACTGAGTTTCAATGCCGTTATTCAGATTATTCAAGTTAAATAAAGGCAACAGTAGTAAACCGCTATTCGAAATTCGTAAATCGATTGAGAAAAAAACAATTCCGGGTTACAAACTAAAACTGAGGGAAACACATCAAATATAAGAGGAGAACAACGACACAACAGAAACACAACACTAAAATGCAAAATACACAGACACGAACTATAATATAACAATGGCCATTTTCCTGACATGGTACAGGACATTTTAAGAAAAAATGGTGGATTGAACCTGGTTTTTTGGCTAGCCAAACCTCCCGCTTTTATGGCAATGTTAAATATAACATTAAAATGACAAGACTACATGACAGGACTACAATACAAATAAATGGGAGAACATACAGGACAGAGACACACACAAGTAATAGCTATCAAAAGGTACCAGGTTATAATTTAATACGTCAGACGCGCGTTTCGTCTACATAAGACCCATCAGTGACGCTCAGATCAAAAAAGTTCGAAAGCCAAAACAAGTACAAAGTTGAAGAGCATTGAGGACCAAAAGTTCCAAAAAGTTGTGCCAAATAAGACTAAGGTTATATGCCTGGGATAAGAAAATCCTTAGTATTTAGAAAAATTCATACTTTTGCAAACAGTAAATTTATAAAAATGACTATATAATAGATATACATGTTAACACCGAAGTGGTGACTAACTACAGAATAAAAACGTATACGTAAAACAACCTAAATCAGCACATAAAAAAGGCACAGCCGAACAACGTATTATATGTTAGCCGAAGAGATCGACGCACAATGTGACGTCACATATAAATTTCTATAAATTTCCAAAAAATAGGATAGAGTTCAAGATTAGGTTTGTAAAACTGATATAACATGTATTAATAACAATGAAAATTACAATACTTATTAATATACAAGTGTGGTAGTAATTAGATAATTAATTGTATTATCAAGCTATGTCGGTATATCTTCTAAATCAAACTGTAAACCAAATACATCGTATAAATTTAGTTGACCCAAACTAAAATCTTATAAATGAACTGGGTGATTAATTATCTTTACCGTAACACACAAATAGAACAGAAAAAAGATTTACAACTACAAACGATAAGACATTTGACAAAATCCGATGAGAATAACAAATATAACATCAAAACTAAATACATGGATTTTGGATAGAAAAATACCGTGAAACGTCTTATAGCAATGCGAATTCACACTCGGCAAAACAGTCACAATCGGGAATAAGTCACGTTCGGTACTTAAAAGATCAGACGACGTAATGGTAAACCACAACCTAACACGTGGTAAAAATGTCACATCGTATGAATCAACCAATTAGTGATGGTGTCCATAAAATTTACGGAGTGTCATTTTTAATCTGTCCTCCTCATAACTTTGTTGGAGCAGTTTCTGCGTACACTCCTGTATATGAAGTCCGTATAGTGTGAACATGCACGAACATAACGTATTAACTGAGATATGTAAACTCCATACGAAGGGGCAGCGGGTATGTTACTGCTGAGAAATGGGAAATTGATAATTGGGAAGTTGAAATCGTCCCGTTTATCATAGATTTTCGTGTGAAGTCGTCCATCTGTGTCAATATTGAGGAAAAGATCAAGGTATGAAGCAGTCCTTCTAGTATCAGTAGTATCCTTAATTTCAAGTTCATTGGGATATATGAGATGTAAGTATTGGCTGAAATATGGGTTATTCAATGATAGGACATCATCAATATATCTGATAGTAAAATTAAAGAATTTCGCAAGGTGTTTTTTCTTTTTGTCTTTTAGAAAGTTCTGAATGAATTCTGCTTCATAAGAGTACAAAACCAAATTGGCCAGTAGGGGTGCACAATTAGTACCCATTGGAATACCGACTGTCTGTTGAAATATCAATCCTCCAAATTCAACAAATATATTGTCGATCAAAAAGTCCAGCATTTTGATAATATCATCTTCAGTATATTTTCTGATAGATTCAGTTTGGTTTTTCACAAAATATGAATTATTGTAACCCAAAACAAGAAATTTGTATCTACGATTCCCATTTTTATAGAAACAGCTCTGTTTAAGTAGATGGTGAAGTCAATCTTTCAACTGGGCATGGGGAATAGTAGTGTAAAGCGTAGAAAAATCAAAAGTCTTTATGTTGCTGCAAAATTGCAAAGATTGTGATTGAAGATTAAGCAGTAGATCTTTCGAATTTTTGAGAATCCACATCTGGTTAACACCACTGATAGAATATATCTCATCACAATATTTTTGAAGCCCATCTTTAACTGTAGAAAGAATAGTAGTCAGTACTTTAGAAAGATGTTTAGTCGAACATTTTGATGACCCAGCTATGTATCGTTCTTTATATGGAGTTTTGTGAAGTTTTGGTATCCAGTATAATGACGGTAAATTTTCTTCGTTTTCTTTGATGTTGATACCAAAAGAAAGAAGGACAGATTTGTGATTTTGTAAAATTTCATCCTTGGTAAATGATGTTAAAGAATATGTAGGATTACCAGTTGTTCTATTTATTCCAAGCTCTGTTGTGGTACATTGCAAATTATGGTTTTTACATATGAAGACAATATTATTGGAGGCTTTATCTGCTGGAATATCGACATATTTGTCATGCAAAGAGGATAGAGCATTCACAACCTCCGGATTCTTGAAAGGGTTAGTAACTCTTGTGCTCATAGTTCATCGTAGTTTCTGAATGCGCTTCTGAATGCATGATCGAATAGCTTTGATCCATTCAGACAAAGTGTCCAGTTCTGGTTCGTCTGGTTTGCGCTTTACCCATTTTCTTGCATAGTCCTCAACTGCATCAATCAGTAACCTTTGTTTACATGCTTAAATCATGTTTCTGTATTCCTCTATCGTACACCTTTCATTTGGCCTCATCCTTGGCTTTCAAAGTTTTGGTGTTTCAGCTTTTCTGATTAAGGTGAATCCAAATTTATAATGTGTTATTGTCGTTTTTAACACTGGTACGACACCGTGACTGGTAGACTGTTAGTCCTTTAGGGTATGACCATATCAGCAGTCAGTGCTTTGGTACTGACAAGATTTATAACATGACTTTCTGAAATTCTCAATGGATATTTAGAAATTATTAAGAAACTAATTCAGGCAAAGATCTTTCAACTGGGCATGGGGAATAGTAGTGTAAAGCGTAGAAAAATCAAAAGTCTTTATGTTGCTGCAAAATTGCAAAGATTGTGATTGAAGATTAAGCAGTAGATCTTCCGAATTTTTGAGAATCCACATCTGGTTAACACCACTGGTAGAATATATCTCATCACAATATTTTTGAAGCCCATCTTTAACTGTAGAAAGAATAGTAGTCAGTACTTTAGAAAGATGTTTAGTCGAACATTTTGATGACCCAGCTATGTATCGTTCTTTATATGGAGTTTTGTGAAGTTTTGGTATCCAGTATAATGACGGTAAATTTTCTTCGTTTTCTTTGATGTTGATACCAAAAGAAAGAAGGACAGATTTGTGATTTTGTAAAATTTCATCCTTGGTAAATGATGTTAAAGAATATGTAGGATTACCAGTTGTTCTATTTATTCCAAGCTCTGTTGTGGTACATTGCAAATTATGGTTTTTACATATGAAGACAATATTATTGGAGGCTTTATCTGCTGGAATATCGACATATTTGTCATGCAAAGAGGATAGAGCATTCACAACCTCCGGATTCTTGAAAGGGTTAGTAACTCTTGTGCTCATAGTTCATCGTAGTTTCTGAATGCGCTTCTGAATGCATGATCGAATAGCTTTGATCCATTCAGACAAAGTGTCCAGTTCTGGTTCGTCTGGTTCGCGCTTTTCCCATTTTCTTGCATAGTCCTCAACTGCATCAATCAGTAACCTTTGTTTACATGCTTAAATCATGTTTCTGTATTCCTCTATCGTACACCTTTCATTTGGCCTCATCCTTGGCTTTCAAAGTTTTGGTGTTTCAGCTTTTCTGATTAAGGTGAATCCAAATTTATAATGTGTTATTGTCGTTTTTAACACTGGTACGACACCGTGACTGGTAGACTGTTAGTCCTTTAGGGTATGACCATATCAGCAGTCAGTGCTTTGGTACTGACAAGATTTATAACATGACTTTCTGAAATTCTCAATGGATATTTAGAAATTATTAAGAAACTAATTCAGGCAAAGATGATCTTAAGTGGATTTTACAATTTTGTTTCCTATTTTATCATATAAATCCTCAAGTATAAAAGTATTGATGCATCCTTGGCTTTCAAAATTTTGAGAATTTTTGTGTTCTATCGATCCTGAAGAAGGTAAATCTAGAAAAAGCGCTAACATTTATAAAGTATTCTACTCATTTTCATATTCTTTTTTTTTATGCCCCACCTAGTGGCATAATGTTTTTCAGTCTGTGCGTCCGTTCGTCCGTTCGTCCGTTTGTCCGTTCGTCCGTTTGTCCGTTCGTCCGTCCGTCCGCCCGTCCGTCCGTCTGTCCCGCTTCAGGTTAAAGTTTTTGGTCAAGGTAGTTTTTGATGAAGTTTAAGTCCAATCAATTTGAAACTTAGTACACATGTCCCCCATGATATTATCTTTCTAATTTTAATGCCAAATTCGAGCTTTGACCCCAATTCCACGGTCCACTGAACAAAGAAATGATAGTGCGAGTGGGGCATCCGTGTACTATGGACACATTCTTGTTTTTCTTTGGAAAGGAACAGTGAATAAGGGTCTTGATAGGGTTTACAGAATAGAGAATAATAGACAAATTCTGTTTTAACGCATCGTGTTAATATGAAAACATGAATATCATATATAAGTATTTTATTTTAGAATCTCACCGTGTTTATGCAATTGCAAATTAAAACGTCTTTCATATCTTATAGGAACGAAGACAGTGACCTTTACCAAATATACCTGTGTTTGATTTTGTTTCGAAGAATTTACATTACAGCTTACTTTAAAATACAAATTTCTTTGAAAACAATTAAAATTGATATATAAAGATTTTATGAAATTTTAGTTTCTGCTCATGTACAGTACAGAGCTTGCTGTTTATTTCAATGAATTCTAGAAAATTCAGAATTTGAAAAGGAATATATCTTCCACATTTATGACATAAATGAAAATGCGCTCGTTGTATCTGTCTCTTCTTCTCTGTGTGCTAAGAAATTAGAAAATGTGACATTAAAATCAGATTTAGTGAAAATGACTACCTTTTAGTGGATAGATCCATAAAAGGTCGGTAACTGGTCCGCTGGAACTTCATTCCGTTTATAAAAAAAGGAGGATAAAAAGTACGAGTCCACGGAATTATTGAATGGTTTTGAAATAATATATCCAAACAGTCTTTCTGTTAAAGAATATTAAAGAAAGCCATGTGAATTTCTGATGGTAGCCGGTACTTGACTCTAAATATATATATTTCATATGAATGTTTTGAAATGGTTAAGTGCAATTCATCCCTGCCTCAACACTCACTCATGAGAGCCAAGTGTAATGGTACTTAATCAAACAAAATGAAATTTAAAAAAAATCAGTTTATAATTTGAATGTTGTTTTAAAAGATTATTGCTATTTGGTGTATTTTTGCTTGGATTTGTTTTTTGTGATAATTTTTCATATCATGCTACAGTAGTCGCTTGAGATAGAAAATTATTGCTAGAAACTAAGGGCGCTCGTGCCGTTGCCCCTCGAAGTGATTGTAGCAGAGAAAAATCCTCTCGTTTGAAAAACCATCAATAATCTATAAATATTTATAATAAAAATAATTTGAACGTTGTTATTAAAAGATTACATTCCAGCAGCAACTTCATATGGAATTTATATCTCCCAGATGATACGATATTCCGGGACTTGCGTTTTCTATCACAATTTTCATGATAGAGGGTTGCTGCTCTATAGGAAGCTATCAAATCAAGAGGTCCACGTGGTGAAGTTGAAGCCATCTCTTCGAACATTTTACGGACGCTATCACGAGTTGGTTGACTGTTATGGAATATCTGTTTCACAGATGATGACGTATATGTTCCAATCGTCGGAAACACAATAAGCACCTGAGATCACTCCGGTTTTTGGTGGTTCCTGTTGCTCATTCTTAAGATTTCTATGTTGTGTTTTATGTGCTGTTGTTTGTTTTTTGGACTTTTTTTCTTCTTTTGCCATGGCATCGTCAGTTTATTTTCGACTTATGAGTTTGAATGTCCCTTTGGTATCTTTCACCTCTCTTTTAGTGATATGTGTTGTTCTAGTGGTTTTATGTTGTTTGTGCTTCTGTTCCGTACAACGTTCAAGTGTCTCAATCTTGGTGTTGTTTTGTTTCTCTGTAGATTTTTTATTCTTTGAAATGTCATTAATATATACATTTTGTACTTACAACAACATGATGAAGAAATACGCCCATTTTCTCTTGTATCCGGCTATTTACAATGATATCTAATGCGTCATAAAAGAAATACCCTGCGAAAAATATACCAAGCAATAATTATATAATGGCATTTAAAACTGGGATTAATACTTTGAAAATATGTCTACTGGTACCAGCTAGAATTGGCCAGATATATTTGAGGGAAGAGCATATTTCCTAAATTCCGTTTCAACTGACGATATCAGTAAAATTAAGAAAGAATAAATTGTGTGCACTATAAGTTTTAAAATTTAAGCCGTTAAGATATTGTAGTGTGCGCACAATTTTAAAAGTAGTTCGCAATAAAGTATACATTTCTTCTTTGATATTAAAAGGACTCTGTAAAACCAAACACATTAATATTCCACTAGCACTGTTTTGTTTTTCATTACAAAACAAAATAAGAACCAAATGCGCTCTTAAGTCTAACGAATAATTCTGTTGCAAATTAGGTAAAATTTCGTGGGAAAAATTTGGTTGATTATATAGGGAATCACTGAAGCATGACTGGAGCCCCACCCCACCCCTTAGGTCAGTCAGCACCCCCCCCCCCCCCCCCCCCCCCTTTTTTATGAAAAGTTCTGGATCCGCCACTGGTCTCATTGGCACTCATACCACATCTTTTTATATCTATTCATGACTCCGGCGTTACTGGGGATCGAGTGTAGCTACGATATTACATTTCATTTGTCAGAATCAGTATTAGCTGTCCTTTGACAGAAAGTCTCTTTTCGGCGAAGCCTAGTCAGGTCTAATTACTAGAGTTATAGTCGGTTTGGTATAATTCAACTTTGATTACTATCTAGTATTTTGTAAATGTTTTAAAATCTAACCATGTTTTTGAATACTTTTATGGCTAAAAAGGTAGGAGCAACTGTTTAATAACAGTTCAAGTATCGTACCTGTAGATACTAGAATCAACATATATGACGAAGTGTTTACAAACAGTAACGGGTCATCTAAAAGTTCCGGGTAACACAGCAATCTGAAAATTAATAAAAGGCAATACAGAAAGTGTTTCAAAATTAAACAGAATGAATGTTTAGATGGTTACACATGTGTTGATAACACTGCTTACTGCTTGTTGGAGCATCTGAGCCCCTCTAAAACAAACCCAACAAAACACTACCTACCCCCCCCCCCCCCCCCTCGGCTTCCATTGTTGAAGTTCTTGTGGCTCTGTCTTTTGTTTTCTGCGTTCTTTGTTCTTTGTTTTCTGTTGTTTTTTTTGTGTTCTTTTGTTTTCTGTGTAATGTTTTGTGGATTGTAGTTTGTCTACTCCAGGGGGTTTTCAGCTTCTTTTTTGTCACTATGACGTCAGTTTTTTCTCGATTTTTGTTTTATATTGCTTCCTTGGTATCTTCTCCCATCAGCTGTACGTGTAATAGGAAAAGATCGATACTCCGTATAGTTACAAAACTTTTCATTTGGTTACCCTACAAGGTGTGTGCACGTCTGTCAAACAGTCTTTTTTCGCAACGTTAGACTTAATAAATGTCTTTTAAACGAACACAAACGGTAACCAAAATAAAGTGTAGATTGACAGTAAATGTTACTGTTAAATTGTTATGAATCAATACTTCCTTTTCTTCTTACAATGTTTTACCAGTAAGCATTTAATTGAAAAGAGTAAACTGAGCTCAAGAGGTTCAGATTCTTCAGGTGGAGTTTGATTTGAATAAAATCGATTCAAATTGATTATAGGAAATTGCACATACCGTACACAAAACAGATACAGAAAATCAGTTAAAAATGTGCAAACTTTGCATAAATATATATGACTATTTATTAATTAGAAATGATCAAAAGAAACGAGCTAAATGAACAATTAATTTATCCAAGAGACACAAATAGATCAACGATTAAAGAATATATCTATATAGTTCGATGATTTCAAATACTTATCAATAATCTATATATACGTATACGTCTATACAAAGCATTTTAAAAGATTAATTGCTTACAAAAAGTTAACATATGCACAAATGAAACAATCAATTTCTTCATTTGATTCGGTTTATTGAAAAAGAGAGGCGAAAGATACCAGAGGGACATTCAAACTCATAAGTCGAAAATAAACTGACAACGCCGTGGCAAAAAAAGAAAAAGATCAACAGACAAACAATAGTACACAAAACACAACATAGAAAACTAAAGACTGAGCAACAATGAAGGTTTCCCCCTTTATATAATACAAATGAATAAACACGAATTTAGTTACCAGTACAGATGCATATGATTGATTGATTGATTGTTGTTTTCTTTACTCCAGGGGCAAATATTTCATATATGTTCAGGACAAGAACACATTAGCAATCAATACAATAAGTAGGTTCTGCCATATAGGGGTCGACCGGAATGAAGAGCGGGAAATTGAACTACCACCCGGAAAATGAGGGTATGTTGGATAAGGGCAGAAATTTCGTTTTTGCAACAGGCCACATACGGACCTTTAAGAAAGTTGTTACAAGGGTTCTTTACCGTGTAGAGAGTGTGGCACTCTCTCTACTCGATGCACCAGAATTAACGACTCCATTCTGGGCGGACGTGGATGCGAATTTATACATCACGCACAGTTAAAGGGACGCCCCACTTTGACAAGGGTTTTACTACCGGTCGGAAGAAGACCAAGGGATGATCATATTTCTATACCTCAGTCAACCCTTTGGCCTCAAATTTATGATTTCGTCTGATAATTTTATCTATAATTCGAAATGGACTAGAATAGTCATGCCAATGGAGTATTGGCAAATATCTCTTCGTTAGTGTATATTTTTAAGATAAGTTATCACTGGAATGAGGGTAAATGATACAAAATTGAATCTAAAAAATACAAAGATCAATATATATAAATAAGAAGATGTGGTATGAGTGCCAATATATACACATATACAGCAGCGAAGTCAAACAACAACTCAATATAGAAAGATAAATTAGCAATACGAACTAAGGTGCTCCGATGATTTTGGTAATCAACAAATTATACCTACCCTACGAAGCTCCAAACTCCTATGATGAATCCGTGAATCCACGATACCACTATTTTTCTCCACCGCCATGGGTCTATATCGTTGGCTGATGCTTTCTGGTTCTCGTAACGCTGTAGAAAAGCATTTATACCATAAAACGCTGCTCCGGTCAATATAAATACAACATAACTATCTGAAAGTTCAATATCAAAATCGTCCTCAGTGCCAACTATTTTCTCAAGTTGATAAGTCGACGACATTATCAGATTTTTTTTCTGTGTATCAATGACATTCTATCCTTGTATCCATGACAGACAAAATAAATATTGTGTTTAATGTAGTCCCTGATCTAAAAATTAAAGGATTTAACGTTTTTTTATTTATTTTTTAGTTTTTAAACAACATTATGGTAGTACCAATGAAGTGTAGAATAAGTAGTCGCACTTGAAAGGCCGCGATGTTCAGATTGAGATTGATTACAATAATCATTCATTGCATTGTTTGAACACAAAATACTTATATGGTCCGAAGATCTCATTGATTAATAATAAATATATCCATATTTAGTATACTAAATTACTATTGGGCGCAATTGAACTTTAAATCAGTCGTAGCATAATACTAAGACATACTACCTAAATACCTTGTCGATTTCCTATATGAGTTATTAAAAGAAGCCCTCTTTAATGTTTACCTTTTCCCGCCATTCATGAATGAATAATTAATTTCTGCTTTTTGTTTTTTGAAATGTCGTAAGGACGATAGTCGTACATTCAATACTCAATTGTCGAGAGGCAGGTTAATTTACAGAATTGTCAATAAGTTATAAAACTGAGAAATATGGTTATATTCCTGAACAGTGGGGGATCGAGATTATGAAAAAGAGGGATGACATAGGAGCCCACCGACTTTTTTTAATAAAGGGGAGAAGGTCATAGCAGTCAAAATCAGATAAAATATACTAAAATTACAAATAGACAAATCTTTTCTTTTGTAAGGTGCTTTCGTAACCATGATATCATTTAAGCTAAATATGTTTGAGTCAAGTTTCAATTGATCTAATTAAATTGTTCAGCCTGTATAGGTAATTACAGATGAAAATTTTCCTATATCAATATTTGATATAAGATATAAAACATCACTTAAAAAATAATTTAATAAACCTTCATTAAAACCCTGTTACTTGAAAACCACGCTAGTTTGAAAAGAAAAGAACTTGAAGTTTTACACCAATTAAGACATTAGTATATAACGAGATCAAGTTAATTTTGGGAGAGGAATTTGTAAAAGTGAAAATTCACTTGTTTTCCAATCCCAATAAAATTGTCATTTTGTAATGTTTACGTTATTATTTTCTAAAATAAACAAGTGTGGACACAGATGAATGTGGATAGTATGTTTGGATGTTTGACAGTGTTTTATATGACAAAAGGAGTTCTATGTTTTTCCTATATGTTGTTATTAACTGTTTTGCACGATGACAACCAACCTGAGCATGAGGTGTTGTTTATTTAATATTTAGATTTTATGTTCAAGACGGGCATGGAAGAGACACTAATTGCATTAATTACCAAATGATTATGATAGAATATTTTCCACATCTTTGATTTTGGATACTTTTGTAGCTAGGAGAGTAACACATAATAGGTTCATTTTTTCATCTGATTTTTTTTAAATGGGAGATGATATCTGAGAACATGATATCAGGAGGCTGTAATTCAGTGGTTGTCGTTTGTCTATGTGTTACATAATATTTGTTTTTCGTTTATTTTGTGTATATAAATAACATAAATGACTATGTGTTATGGGCTTTGCTCATTGTTGAAGGCTGTACGGTGACCCGTAGTTGTTAATTTCTGTGTCATTTTGGTCTGTTGTGAAGAATTGTCTCATTGGCAATCATACCACATCTTTTTTATATGTATTTGCTCACTATTTGTATGGTTCTATTTATATTACTTTGTGGTGGATTGTCAGTATCATTAGTAAAATATTTTGTTAAAATGTCGAAATTGTTTCTCAGATTAGAAGACATTTGTTGGTTTTTAGTAATGAAAATGCCTGACATGATGCTTGGGGCTAGATGAGCTAGAAAGTAAACTTCTGTGTTGTTTTTTATCAATTCTTTGATAACATCTCCTCCAAAGCTGGCCGAAGCAAAAAAAAGTTTTGACCAATATGAAAATGATATCAACAAAAAAAACCGTTGTGAGCATGCTTCAAAGACTCATAACTGCTCCAAAAGTAATCTGATAGAATTTCAAGCATGTCAAGTGGGTATTATGAAAATCTACTCAATATGTCTAAATATAAAAAAAGTTATAGTATTCAATATGAAAAAGGTATTGCAAAATTATTCTCTTTACAACTTTTTTTGTTATATGGATACAAATATAAATGATACCAATACAGTATTTGTTGTGGTATGAAAGTGTAGTAATTTACATTTACTGTAACAATGTTAATTCACACAAATTAAGAAATAAACAAATGAATGAAAAATGTTCAACATGTACAATGAAATATAGTTTTAGAAATCAATTAGGCCAGATAGGCCTTATAAATTTTGCCCTTTTTTTTTAACATACTGGATGACAATTTACACTCAAGACCGAGTCATCAGTAGGCAGTACAGATGTATTAAAACAACCTAGCATCATATTGCTAGTAGCGAGTGTAGCATTGTCGGGTAAATTTGTTCTTTTTTTTAAATTTGGTTAATGGACAAAAAATGTTTGGTTCAAATCATAATAAAATGCTTTTATCTCCTTATTACTTACATTGTACATAGAATGGATACTACCCTGACAAATCCTTGTACATGAGAGTTGTCTGTCAAATCTTTATTTCACAAAGAATGCATTGCATAACAATGAACTGAGCTCAAAGCAAAGCACTTTAATAATACACTTAGACAAAGAGCTCAATCCAGTGATATACTTTGTACTACAGGTCCTTCATGAACATCCTATCCACCAAAACCATATCTCACAAACATGCCATACTACATGGTTGGATCAGAAGTCCTGAAAAAGACATGAAGTTTATTATCGTATTTTAAGTATATATACACAGGTTAAAATTTATATACTCCAATAGCAGTCTTTCCTGCTAAAATGTCATGTGTAGAATGTGATATACCATTTTTGGGTCTATATGGGTACTGTCCTTTATATTTATAATATTAGGTCATTTTGACACAGCAAAATATATAGAAAATGTTAACTTTGATCTGGAAATTGAGTTCTTTTTCGCAAAATAAACCCACTAAAACTAAACTTTGAATGCAAAAGACCCCTAAATGGCTAACAGATATTGCTATAAAGAATAGTCCATGATGATTCTTGTTATTAAAGAGTTCATGAAATGTACACCGATTCTGTCAGTTGAATGGACTAGAATGAGATAAGTTATATAAACATAAAGGTTTTTTCAACAGTTGTGGTGTAAATTAAATCAGTTTTATTTTATGGTTGACATATTTAAGTATATATGTAGATCATTGGCTTTTCAACACATTGATATTTTACAATATCGATTATCTATTTATTGTTATATTGTTGGTATTTTTCACCTTCCTAAAACAGATTTAATGCAACATGAACACAAGCTTGATAGATCTTGATAGGGTGTCCTCACATATTTTGACGTTGCTGAAAAATTTTGGTTGACATATGTATCCTCTTCTCATCATTTTTCGTGCTATTGAGAATGCATACTGTCGTCATAATTTCCATTGAAAATGCATGCATAGTACAAATTCATATGACGTACGAAAACATATGATCTGACCATATACATGTACATGTATGTATAGGTTATCAGCTTTTCTACACATATTAGCCAGTAAGCCGCAATGAACCTATTATGGCAAGTGAGCGCAGCTAATGAGCTAAAATGAATCAAATTGTGTCCTCAGTGGGGGATATTTTAAGGGATCTATATGAAGAAAACCTGATCATCTGTTTATCGTTCTATTTCTGGCTATTTCACCTCCCTAACTTGGCCTAAGACAGTTTTTACAGACGAAAGCAAGCTTGATAACTACTCCTCACACACATGTATAGATTATCGGCTTTTCTACACGAGTCATGAATATCGTAAAATGTTAGCCAGTGAGCAGGCCCGCAATGAACCTTTTTAGTGAGTGAGCCCAGCTAATGAGCTAAAATGAATCAAATTGTGTACTCAGTCACAGTTGGTGATATCTTAAGGTATCTACACAAAGAAAACCTGCTTATATAAATCTCAGTGGCGGATTCACAACTTTTCATAAAAGGGGGGTGGCCGCTGACTGACCTAAGGGTTGCCCACTCCCGTCATGCTTCCCCAGTGGCGGATCCGGGCCTCCGGGGGAGGGTTCCGAGGGTTGGAACCCCCTTTTTTGGACGATCAAGGCATTTGAATGGGGACACATAGTTGTAACACACACCCCACCCACCCTTTGTCCTGAGTTGGGAACCCCCCTTTTATAAAATGGCTCGATCCGCCCCTGCTTCCCTATAAAATCAACCAAATTTTCCCCACCCCCTGGATCCGTCTATGTAACTGTTTATCGTTCTGCGTAATACTGGCTTTTTCACCTCCCTTACTTGGCCCTAGACAGTTGCTTATCTCAATATCTGTTTATCGTTCTGTCACTAGCTTTTTTTATACTAGACTAGAGACTTCATGTGTACAAACCTGACGTCAAACTCGTGTACTATAAAAGAAGAGACAAATGATTTCACATTAAATCCTGTAACATTACATCTAAAGATAATTATAATCCAAAGTAAATTATATTACGATGTCAATGGACTAAATTCCCGCGCAAATGTCATCACTGGGATAGACCAAAACGAATTTTAGGTTTATGTATCATTCACATTCCGATCAATTTACTCAGTTAAATAAAATATATGTGTTAACTATTTTTATATTGGTTTTGAATTTAGTTAATCTATCAGAAAAAAAAAGATTTATTTCTCGCAGACAGCCCTCAATACTATTTACCAACTCGACACTGAAGCTAAAAAACCCTAAAACATAATAGTACATGGAATCGTCCAAACGGATTTCCTAATATTGATATAGGTGAAATATGTAGATTCAGAATTGTGTACACAGAAATAAGATCAGAAATAAAGCCCTATGTAAGGTGAAAACAATAACACAACTGTATAAAATCATTGTTTATTAAATTTGCTTGCATAAGAACCATGCAGTTAAAATTTATAACGATTACGTTTATCCTGTCAACCCCTTTTCTTCATTGCATCAAGGCTTCCGTTACTTTACATCGAGCAGCAATTCAACCAATCGGGGTATGTTAAGTTGGGACATACCTCTATTTTTGGAAGCGTGATCTTTACATCGAGGCTTGCGTTGCTTTACACCGAGGCCACAGTAGTTCGACCAATCGGGGAATGTTTATTTGGGGCATGTGACCTATTGAACTGCAGATTTTATAATATTTTAATCGAAATTGTAGAAAAATGAA